TATGGTGTGGGATTGGACATGCACTTTGCAAAAATAATTAAAATTATATATTATAATTCTATGTATTAGGATCCCTTGTGGACATGTATGTTTTTTTAATAGATAATAATATATGTTTGCACAAAATAATTAGGAAAAAGGAAAGTTTTGGTTGACAAACACAGTTTCTATTTGTAAGTGAATTATGATCTTTATTTTCCTTTTTCAGAAATATACCACACAAATGGACGTTTGAAATAAATTTGGTAATCTAAAGTTCTAAGCCACTCACTCGGTGGTCTCAACTCTCAACATCGAAACTTTATATTAAGTATCGTACGTGAGGTAAATATTGGTGGGACACTAGCTAGTAGAGCACATAACACTAAGAGGTTGCTTTATATATGTAAATGTAATTGCATGCTTTCTACTAGATTTTTTTAACTCTTCTTGCGACTGCGAGCTATATAACCCTACTAGCTACTGCGAGCTATATAACCCTGTTCCATTCTTACCATTAAATTTAACCTTGAGTGGAGACAAAACAAAAAAAGTTAGGGCAAAAACACATTCAACCTTACATAAGGGTGTTTTTATATTTTTTCTCTATTTGTTTATCAAATATATAGTTTAAAGTTGGCTCTTTGGAAAATATATATTTAAAATGTAATGATGTTCATTGTAGATAGACCAATTCGCTTGCATATTATTTTATGTATCTCCGGATCTTCAATGTGAAATAACACACCGGATCAATATGATAACTCTTAATTTATGTTTATATTACATATATCCATTGGGTCTTCTAACTTGCAATATGAGATTCTAATACGATCGTCTACAAACATATATCCATGTAACATATCTGATGAGCACATTTGGATTCTTTCAATTGTCGATAACACAAATATACACAATATCTACTGGATTTGAATCGGATAATAATTTTTGGGTGGGGGAAAAATGGGGATAACATAAAAATATGTGTGACTATAAATTAAGACCGACAAATAGGAGAACTGTAGCTAGAAAGAAAAACTTTGTAATAGTATAAAATAATACTACAAAGACACACTTAATTTTGTCTGATAAAAGATAACGACTTTATGTTATGTGATGCACACAAGTTGGAGATTATTTTTTAAGATAGAGATTTGTATATGGGACATAATGCATAACACTTAGTTAACACAAATCAACATGATTCATATGTTTATATTTCTTTAAAAAGAAGAACCAATAACCAAGGCAACTTATAATTATATTTTCTCCTTTACAGAAACTATGATGATGCTTAATTAATTAGCTAATTACGATTGGATGAGTGTGGTGTTGGTGTTAGATTAGGTACTTTAAAAACCCTAAGGCTTATGGTTTTCATACAATTTCAGAACTCTAGAAGTGTTGACTGGAAACAAGTAACCTTAAAGAAGCAGCTAACTATACCTTCATTTGACCTTATCTCAATGGATGTTCCTAGCTAGAACATATATATAATATTTCATACAATTTAATACATGTAAGAAGATTTCCCTAAAATTTGTCCGTAATCTAAATTATGTTAAAAAGGAAAAGTTCAACAAACCAACTGGATTCGATTCCTCAGTCTTGCACAAGAATCTGTGTTTATATATATAAGTATCTGTATATTTTCATCCTAAAACGGTGGTCTCATACATAAGTTCTCAAGACCATATCATGTAAAAGTTTCGACAAGAGATCATTTCCTCAATGAAAAACGTGACAAGAGGAATTACTTCACCTAAATAAATAAAACTGGAACAATTTTTCTGCAAACAAGAACCCTAAACTCCATTTTTAGTTACCAAAGTTTTTGAACTTTTGGTTCATAATTCATTATCTAATTGGAGGGATAGAAAGAACAGAAAAAATTAGTCTACAGCCTTATGTTGAGGCTCGAACTTGTGACATTGAGAAGTACTCCTTATACTGAATGCTAGCAATGGTTTCCAACAGATATCGAATTCTCCAAGTCCAGATACTATTGAAATTCTTTGATTACAAATTTGGAAAACCGTCATAAAAACAGAAACATAACATAAAAAAGAGTGAAAAGCACACTGCACCAAGACCCTGGAGCTCATTGTCGGCCAGTACTTTCCATGGTTAGAAACCTCTGGACTTAATTGCGCTGATTTATCGGCCCGTACTTAAAAGATTCCATAGTTTAAAAACCTCTGGACTTAATTGGGCTCATTTTTCGGCCCATAAATGTTGGGTAAACCGAAAGAAACAATTGGGGGTAGTTACGTCTTTTTAGGATGAACCCCAAAGAACCCTAGTTGTGTCGTTCGTTTGTAATTGTGTGTATATATAAATAGATTCCTCCAAGCCAATCTTGTCATCTCAGAACTTACATTCTCGCCGTCTCTGCACCTTCAAAATTTGCGATTAAAAAGGCTGCTACTTTAGTTCGTTTCGTTTATAGTGTTCTTTAGATACTCTGTTTTTCTGAATTATTTGTGATTTTTAAAAGGATCGATTTTTATGAGATTTTTTTGGTTTGAAGAGAGATATGATGATGGAATTTGATTTCCCTATTGGTTTGATAGCCGATATGATGGCATCTTACGTATTAGCTCTATCTGATCTCTTTTCTTCTTCTCTTCTTCATCTATCATGTTCTTCAATTTTACATTGTTAGTCTTCGTTTTTGTTAAAATCTGATTCGGGTCATAATGAGAGGGTGAGAAGAGAATGGATATGATGAACGAACTTTGTTTCCCTATTGGTTTGATCGCCGATATGATGGCATCTTACGTATTAGCTCTATCTGATCATTCTCTTCAATCCTCTCTGAATTTTAAAATTGAGTTGCTAATTATACAGCTAATATCTACTTAGTATCGGATTCGTGTTTCCAATCTATTTACTGTGATAGAGATAGATATTTACACGAAAACTCTAAATCAGCATTGTAAACTGTGATTCGTAGTTAATATTGTCCATCAGTTTGCTTTTGAGATGAGTCATAATTTTCACGTCTTTAATTGTCTAACTTGACGGAACAAATTTCCATTAAGATATGAAGAATTCAATCCCCTTGAGCAATTGCAAGTTTCAACCACATAAAACTTGACTTTATCGCACATGATAAAACTTACCACTCTGAATTGAAAGGTCTTGCGCTTATAGTTTTCAAACTTGAACGTTTAGAACTCAAAACTCTGATTCGTGATCAGTAGGACATCGAAACTACTAATGTCGATGAAGCGACTCAAAAATTGGTTTATTGGACATTATTTCCAATTCTACGGTCTATTAGACAATAAAGAGTCCCCTGATGATTTGTATCGGCTCAATAACCAGTTTACAAGCAAAGCTTAGCTTTTTCGTGGAGTAACGAAGATTCGACAAAAAACTTTAGATCTTTCAAAATCTGGCAAGTTATTTTACGAGGAAAGTCTCCATCTTAGACCATCATTATCGGGCGATTTTTACCCAGATCTTAGATGAATTAAGATAAAAAAATAAATCAAAATTAGCATTATTATGTAACAGACGTATCTTGCTTAAGATACACATAGGATGATAAGATACGTCGACGTGGCAATTATCTCATTTTCCTCTCTCTCCCTCTCTTTCTTTTACTCTCTCTCTCTCTTTCTATCTCTCTCTTTCTGTTTTTCTCTCTTTTTCCTTCTCTAAATGATTTTTTTTTATATTTTTAGTCATTCTCTTTTAAGTTCAAGTTTTTATATTTATTTTTACACCAATTTTATATTTTTTTTGTTCTTACAAACTTACTACTATTGTACTTTATGTTAGACATTATATGTATGTTTTAAAATTTTAAATTTGCAATAATTATAAAGTTTTCTAAAAATAACAAATTTAATTTAATTTAATTTTTAAATAAATATTTTTTTTGTAAGATCCCCAAACTAAGAGTCTACCAATAAAAATTTCTCAATACTAAAATCACAAAAACAACTTTTACACCTTACTTTTTCAAATTTATTATTAAACTAATGCTAAGATTAAAATTTAAGATTCCCTTAATAATCTTGCTCTTAGAGCAAGATTCCCTTGATAATCTTGCTCTTAGAGCAAGATTATCAATGGTATCTTACATTTTAATCTTATAATTAGTTTAATAATAAATTTGAAAAAGTAAGGGTTAAGAGTTGTATTTGTGTTTTTTGTTTTGAGACATCTTTATTGGTAGTATCTTAGGTTGGGGATCTTAAAAAAAGAAAATTTATATAAAAATTAAATTAAATTAAAATTTATAATTTGAGAAAACTTTATAATTATTGAAAAATTTAAAAATTTAAAACATACATAAGATAAAGTTAAGGAATGAAAGAAAGAAGAGAAAATTAAGAAAATTGATTTTTTCCCCTTTTATATATATATCCTAGTGAATTTTTGAGGAATGCCTCATTTAGTGTATCCTTTTTTAAAAATACCATTTTTCTATCCATTTTAAAAATATCCCTTTTCAAGTATGAAAAATTATAAACTTTTATATGGTTGATAAGGTACATCAAGATCATCATTACTACTGAAAGACTAAATCCAAATAATTATAAGGTTTTAAAATGTTCTAAACGGCATTTATCAGGTTTTTAAAAGGTTTACAAATTTTTTATAAGGTTTTTAAATGATTTTTAAAAGGTTTTTATACGGTATTTATGAATATATATATATATATATAAATTTACACACATATAAAAATAATTTGTGTCTATACATATAAACTTACACATATATTTTTGATAAAATTTCAAATTTTATAATGACTTTTTGATAAAATTATATATATATATATATATATATTTATTTATTTATTTATTCTACTACCCAATAAAATCTTGCCACATGTACGCTTCTTAGCACAATAGTTAGATCTTAAATAAGATAGCTTCTTAGTCAATTTGATGTATTTTTGATTTAATTAAATCATAAATAATCCTAAGATCTATGTAAGATCTTGCCTATAATGATGGTCTTAGGCTGTGACTCTAATATCAAACCTAGATAACAAAGACACAGCAGTTCCTAAGGATTCAAAGAACATCATCCAAGTTTAAAGGAGAAGCTCATCCAATGTTAAAGGAGAAGCCATGGTGGCCAACAACTTTGTCTTCTCTTTCTCCAATAGTGCTTTTGCATCTGAGCACTTCTGCTGGAATATCTTCAATTCTTCCTCTAATTCTTGCATACGAGCTTCAACAATCTGTTCTTCCTTCTTCTTTTCCTTAGTTTCCTCCAGCTTCTTCTCCAACCAATCAACCTTAAAGCCTGAAAATTTCAGGTATTGTAATGCATTGTCTCCTTCCACAAGATCATCATTTGAGAGCTCTTCCACTGACTTGCACAGTGTCTGGATTATGCTGAAGAGCACATGCATGCATGCTGTTCTCAAATGTTGGTTCTTTGCTTGGAATACTGTTGCAATTTCTGGGTATCTTTCAAAAACACGGCAAACAAATTCCATCTGCAAATGAAAAAGGATGAACAAACATAAAATCCCACAAGTATACATGCATGATGTTCCCAAATAATAAAGTTTGAATTTTTGCATCTTTATTAACTTCTTTACCTGGGAAGGAGCATGAAACCCATTGACATCAATGCTTTCTTCTTTTACCAATGAAGTTTCCTTAAGCAAATCTTTCGATTCCACACAAGCCTCTAGCTTTACCTTTTTCGGAGGTTGGTTTGTCTCTTCAGATTCTTCTAATTTGCCAAGAGCTTCAACAACATCAACCTCCACAACAATTTTGACTTCTTCATTCACCAGAAACCCACCATTTTCAGCCTTAATTTCGTCAAGAGGAAGCATTTCTGAGAACCCCCAACCCGGAGACTTCATATCAAACCACATTTGTGTTGCTGTCGCATCACGAAACGTGAAACTCTAGTTATAAAAATGAAAAAAAAACAAAAAAAAAAACAGAATCTTTGTAATCATAAAAACTTAAACTTCCGTTTGTCAACATTTAGGCGCAATCTTGAAAAGAAAATATCATAAAGCTCTTACATTTGAGTTTGGAAAGATGTTCCGAAAGCTGATTTACAACGTTAAGGCGAAATTTTGTGTGTCGTTTCCAGCCAAAAGGCAAAGTTTTGATATCAGCAACCACCAGAAATAGAGAGAAACATCTATTATCCCTGACTCCTTTGGGATAGGCCATAAGACGCCTATCCTAATGTTCTCTAATGTTCGTTGTCCAATATGAATGAAGTTAGTTTCTTACCATTTGCAAGAACCGATCACAAATATATCAGAAAAGACCCTCTCGGATTGCAAAGATGAGAAGTTCTTAATCACCCATGTGAACTTGTTATCAGCTTCTCTCCCCATTCAAGACTACTCTCTGCAATCGAATAGTTGGAATATGTAGAAGGAGCGGAACCCTAGAACCCAAGTGGCAGCCAGATATAGTAACCAAACATTAAGTGTCGAAAGCTCACTTCACCAAGACGCATAAGCTTGTAGAGTGGCTGGCTAAGTAAATACTACAGCTTACGTAACATTCGGGATATTTGTCAAGTGGCAGCCAGATATAGTAACCAAACATTAAGTGTCGAAAGCTCACTTCACCAAGACGCATAAGCTTGTAGAGTGGCTGGCTAAGTAAATACTACAGCTTACGTAACATTCGGGATATTTGTCGGCCCATATCAAGGTCACAAATTTCTGGACTTAGTCAGGCCCATTTATCGCAAGAAGCAAAAGGTGTGTCCGTAACTTCTCACTAGTAACTCTTGAACGAGACAAAAAGGAGAAACTCTGATTCCCCATTGGATGATTAAGATTCGCATGCGATTAAGGTTTTTAAATGAGCTCACATTCTCGTTGAAGAGAATTAAAAAGGTATGATAATGGCAACTGAAAATATGTCTCATCCCTATTGATTTGATAGCTGAAAATGAAGACATCGATTTTTTTGTTCAATACTATTAGCCATTCTTCTCTGAGGTCTCTCTGGTACAAAATTTTATTTATAGATTTACTGTAGTATTAACCATACGCCAAATACAAAAACAAAACATAAGACACATGTCTCTCTAGCTTCCAAAGTTTTAACAGGAGTCTAATTTGGAATCCTAGACTCAAACGAACAAACACCACAACATGCCAAGTCATAAGAGGACGTCTTCCAATTTCAGAGAAGCTCTAGCGGCCAACACCTTTGCCTTCTCTTTCTCCAGCATAGCTTCCATGTCTAAACACTTCTGCTTAAGCTCATTCAATCCCTCCTCTAATTCTTGAATCCGAATCTCACCATTCTGCTCTTCCACCTTCTTTTCCTTTACTTCCTCTAGCCTTTTCTCCAACCAATCCACTTTAAAGCCCGAAGCTTTCACGTATGTTAGTGCATTGTCTGCTTCTACGAGATCTTCATTGGAGAGATTCTGAGGTGGTTGGCACAATGTCTCGATTAGGCTGAGCAAGAGAGTCATGCATGCCTTCCTGAGATGTGGGTTCTTTGGACGGAACTCTATTGCAATGTCCGGATGTTTTTCAAAAATAACATTCAGAAAATCCACCTGCATGCGAGACATATCAAGACAAGATAATGACTAACTCTCCTGAGGTTGAAATTTCTACAAAATTATCATCTTTCTAAAGTTTTCTAACCTGCGAAGAAAGAACTTGAAAACCATTGACGTCCATGAGCTCTCTTACTGGTGGAGTCTCTTTAGATGGTTGCTCCAAAGCATTGTTTAGCATCACAGGTTCCACATTTGCCAACACCGAATTCACTTTCCTCAGATCAGTATCCCTCAGATCAGTTGTCGTCATCCTCGGGAGATTTGCCTCGTCTCTCCATTGCTTGGCAAGCAATTTGATTAGTTGTGGATCGTCTCTGTCACCAAACCTCAGCAGCAAACAATCTCTCAAATCTTCCCAAGATCGAAAAAGTAACATCTTCTGTCTCTGATGATACCAAGATAATGCTTCCCCTTCGATGACTCCATAAGCCATCGCCTGTTTCTGCAAATCTGTGAAATCATCATACTGAGCAAAGTATTGCTCCATCCAATCAATCCATGGCCGCAAACCGTAACCAGTAAACACCGGAACCTCCACAATAAACTCCTTCACCATCTTTAATCTTCTGTTTATTCCCCCAAATTCTTCAAACCCTAACTCTTCACGTTTGATTCGATCCGAAACCACTAAACCCCAGTTACAGTGAGATAAACCCTGAACTGATAAGTAGCAACCCCGCTTCTCCATTACATGGGTTTTACTTATGGACTTCGGCCCAATTTACAATTGTTCAACCGTTATCTAGAGTGGAGATAGGCGACCATAATAAGAAAAATCTAAAACTTTGATTGCATTTGTGATTTGGAAACAGAGTGTGTTTACAAGCTATTCCGGCCCAAATTATATTTTCGGTACGAGCTCTTAATAGACTTTGTTGGACTCTTCACAGATTTTTCTCAGATCCAGTAAACAGAGTGCTTAATTGCCACGAAAAAAAAGAAATTAGTGGACCACGGGATAATCAAACAATTTATATTAATTACTTGACTACTGTAGTTTTTTAATAATGAAAATATAAAACATTAGTATATATTGAAAAAAAGGTTTGTTATACATTTCATTAATCTGAAGAATACTTGATGACTTTTGCGGTTGACACCCTCTGTTTCTGAATAATAAGAAACTCTTAATCGGAGAAGACCATACCAAGAAACAAAGATCTGGTCTTTTTAATTTATTCAATCATCCCAGTAATTATATGACGCCACATATGCTTAAGAACGTTAGGGTTCATGACTGATGACTTTATTTCATTCAAACAACATCCTCGAACCCAAGTCGAGCACTGTCGGATCTAGCTTCGTTCTCTTCATTCTTTCGTTCGGTTTCAAGAGCCCACAAAACACGCCTCTGTTCCACGATCATCCCATCTAGCTCTCTCATCCGAGCCCCACGCGTTTCCATTTTCTTCTTCCTCACGCAAAGCTCATCCAGCTTCTTCTTCAACCAATCCAACTCGAAACCTACCTCTTCCAGTTCCAAAAGCGTGCTCTCTGCATCTCTTAGTTCCTCCTCTGTAAGCTCCTGAGGAGCTAAGCATATTATGTCGATGAGGTCGAGGAGGTTGTTCATGTAAGCATTCTTCACCATTTGGTTCTTTGGACGAATATTCATTGCGGTTTCTGGGTGTTTTTCAAATATTCTCCTCACACAATCCACCTGAGAACAAGATTGCCGTATAAACTACAAACTATACTTTATGTGAGTTAAAATGATGTAATTTTGTTTTTGCTTACCTCTGAATAGTAAACTCGAAAGCCATTGACCTCCACGGTTCCATCACCATTCCACATTGATACAATCAAAATCTTTCGCTACAGATTTGGCAAAGGGAGTTTTGTGTGTTTGACTAGTTTCTTGCTGTAACTGATATATAAATGAAGAAGATGCATGAATCTCAAATAAGCGTGAGCTAATCGTAACTTATATAAAACTGTCATAATTAATAACTTATTAATATTAATAGAAGGAACACGTCAAGCTACTCGTTTGGGCAAAGACTATATACTCTGTTCATGCACACCAAGACATTTATTTTTTCATCAAGAAACACACAGTGTGCAATATATAGAAAAACAATATGCTTTAAAGACACATTGCGAACCCTTAATTACACTGAAAACGTGCGAACAGAAATTCTAACTTCTAAAACAATATCTGTAAGCTAAATTGCCTAAATTAAAACTCAGACATCTTCATCGTCGTCTTCATCATCATCATCAGACAGCGAGAGGGGAGCTTCGGCAGCCAAAACTTCTGCATTCTCCTTCCACAACTGAGCTTCGAGGTCTGAACAATTGCGCTTCAAATCCTTCCACTCTTGTTCAATTTCTTGAATCCGAGTCTCAGCAGCTTCCTCTTTCTTCTTCTTTTCGGACACTTAGATCAAGTTTTTCTCCAACCAACCCAACATAAACCCAATCTCTTTCATGGGTTCCTGAAAAGCATATGCATCTGCCAGTTCATCGTTGGAGATTTCCTTAGGCGACCGGCACACAGTCTCAGTCAGGATGAGTAGGGCATTGATGTACCCTGTCTTCACATATTGGTTTTTTGTACGGACATTTTCTGCGGTTTTGGGGTGATTTTCAAGCAAACGGTTCAAAGATTTCACCTGCGAGTGAAACACAAATAATGATTACTTACCTCTATATACTATCAAGAAACTGATCAAGTTTCCTTGCCTGTGATGAAACAACTTGAAACCCATTGACATTCATATATGATGCAGTCATTAACCACGAATACGTCAGAACGGATATACTTGGATTGCACAGATTTAAAATTCTTTATCACCCAAGTGAACCTATTAGCAACTTGTTTCTCCATTGATCTTGATGATGATGATGATGACTTTTCCTACAAATTACCACACCGTGGGGTTATTTAGGTGATTAAATTCATATAGTTGTTTAATTGTATCAAAATATAAACAAATTTTCTTCATCCTTTGTTTCTTTTTTCCTTTTGCTTGCGCAACAATTAAACCTTATTCTTTTGTTGCATAAAACAAATGATAAGGCCGGGGAAGTAGATCACAAAAACCAATCATGAAAAATGAACTGGCAAAACGCCAACAACATAACCTATATTATTAGCAAAGATCCACTCTTGCTTGGCCGAAACCCCGAGATAAGCAAACTAATCAAATAAAATTCAATCACAAAAACTAACCACTGAAAACTCGATAGCAAAAGTCCATAGAGAACAATGCGTTGCGTCATTGACAGATCTATATTGACGTAATCATAAACATGATGAAGGTGCACGCCATCAATCGTAAGACCCACTTTAGATCATCACTGTTATGAAACAACGACAAAGGAGCTCTGGCAGCCAAAACATCTGCCTTCTCCTTGTTCAGAAGAGCTTCAAGGCTTGAACACTTCCGCTTCAAATCTTTATACTCTTGCTCAATTTTTTCCATCCGAATCTCACCAGCTTCTTTCTCCCTTTTCAATATCTCGTCAAGTTTATCCTCCAACCAATCCAGCTTAAATCCTACATTTTTCATGCATGTTAGAGTAGTTTTTGCATCAGACAGATCATCGTTGGAGATTTCCTTAGGTGACTGGTGCAGAGTCTCCGTCAAGTTGAGCAGGACATTCATGTACGCTGTCTTCAAAGATTGGTTCTTTACACTCAACTTTGACGCAATATCTGGGTGTCTCTCAAACAAACGGTTCACAGATTTCACCTGCGGGTGGAAAGAAAAAGTATGGTTTATATATATTTCAAATAGCAAAATTTAAAGATTTGCAAACCATTTATGCAACATGTAAAAGCGGTTACGTTTTACCTGTGAAGGAAGAACTTGAAACCCTTTGACATCTATGCAATCATCAGACGTCTTTGATGCATCTAATGAGCCAATAACTTCAAGAACATCTACCGCAACACCAATAATGACTTGGTCGTTAACCAGGAATCCTCCATCATTTCCAGAAATTTCGTTAAGGTTAAGCATTGGTGGAAAACCCCATCCGGGAATACTCTGATCAAACCATTGTTGTGTTTCTAAGAAACCACACAACATATTTCACCACATAAGTTACAATTTTTAAATAAACCATATCATCATGTTCACAACTTGAGAGAGCAAAACAAGTTAGCATACCATCAGAATAATAAAAATCAACTTTACAATGCCATTGGAAGAAAAATAATAACCTTCCAGTTGGTAGAAGTCTCCGGAAAGTTGATTTAATATAGCTAGGGAATATTTGGCATGCCTTTGCCAACCACTAGGCAACGACTCAAAATTAGGAACGCACAGATACACAGACAAGGATAAGTAATTAGTAACATTGTTAACTTCGGGGTAGGCAGCAACACGCCTGCAAGCCAAATAAAAAATAGGTAAAGAATGAGTGAGAATATTTATTAGCTTCACATATGTAGAAAGAGACATTAGAAAACAGATTCTCTTCTTCTTATACCATTTGCAGCCACCAACGATGAACTCTTTAGACCAACTAATTTTCTGAGATTGGATAGAGGAGAAATTCTTAATCACCCAAGTGAACGTGTTATCAACTTGCTTCCCCATTTTGATCTAGATGAAGAGTCTTGGTAATCAAGCTACCAGAATATCAACCTCAAATTAGTACGCCGTCAAACAAAACCAAAATTGAGATTATGAATGTGAAATGACTTTTGCTCCTCTTAAAACATAATAAAATTAGGGTTTTATCTTTGCACGCCTGCACGGCTTCTTCTAAATACAAGGAAAAAATTATTGAATAGGTTTGGTTTAGCTATTTACTATTTTATTTTTGTTTGTTTTTGGTTGGATGATTTTTAAAATTTCATTTAATTATCTGATCTAATAATTAATCTATTAATAAAAAAACATTTTTAAAATAAAATTTCTTAGTTTTCTGTAATTTGTTCAAAAATCATTTTTTCAAGTAAAACATTAAACTGATATTTTAATGATAAGAAATGAAAATATCCGAGGGAAAATGTGATATTGTAGTCTAAAAAGCGTGAGCTCAATGCATTATAATGGTCTCTAAATAAAAGCTAAAAACTCAAGTGATCAAACGAGAAAGGAGCTCGAGCAGCCAACAACTCCGCCTTCTCCTTATCTATCTCAGCTTCCTGTTCTAAGCACTTCTGCTTCAATGGCTTAAGCAAATCCTCCTTTTCTTTCAGCCGGGCCAAAGAAGCCTCCACTCTCGTCTTCTTTTCCTTTACCTCCTCCAATTTCTTTTCCAACCAATCCATCTTAAACCCTGCATCTGTCATGTATGCCAATGCATTGCCTGCATCAGACAAATCATCATTGGAGAGCTCTTGAGGAGATTGGCATAGCGTCTGGGTTATGCTGAGGAGGACATTCATGTATCCTGTCCTAACATGCGGGTTCTTTGAACGGAACTCCAATGCCATGTCTGGATGTTTTTCAAATATACGGCTCCAGTATTCCAACTGCAGGTGGAAAAAGGAAATGAATAAAAAACTTACATAGCCATATCTTTTTGTTTCCCAAAATCGTTTATTACCTGTGAAGTAAGAACCTGAACCCCATTGAATGACAAGGTTTTCTCACCATCGTCATTAAGCTTTGTTTTCTTCAGAGGACTAGATGGAACATCTAATTTGCCAATAACTTCAAGAACATCAACTTTGACAACAATCTTTAACTCTCCGTTCACCAAAAACCCACTATTTAAGCCCGTAAGAATGATAAGAGGAAGCATTGCTGGGAAACCCCAGTAGACACAGTTGGAATCAAGCCAGTGTTGTAATTCTGTAAAGCCACGAAACATAGAGCTGATCAAACAAGCCCTAAATTTCTTGCTCAACACATAACTAGAAAGAATCACGTACGTAGTAGCATCACAAGTCCCACGACGAACCAGTATGAATCAGAAATTTTGAACTTTAAATACTAATACTAATTTCTTTAAAAAAAAAAAAACTAAATAAGAGTAATACTAATTACGAGTGCATAGAAATATACACCTCGCGTGAAAGAGCATTTAGGTTGGATTTGATTTACGATAGTAAAGGAAAATTTGACGTGTCTTCCCCATCCAGCAGGCAATAATTCATAATCAGAAACCTTTAGATACAGAGAAATATTATTAAGGCTGTTATTTCCCTTGGGGTAAACCCGAAGACGCCTGCAAGCAAAAATAAACCAAAGAAAACAGTCAAACAAAACCAAGGAGAATTAATTATATCACATAAACCTACAAGTGACGAAAATTAGAAAACAGGTTCGTCACCATTTGCAGCCACCAACCACGAACTCATCAGAATGAAGATAACCAGATGGCCAAGAATCGAAATTTTTAATCACCCATGTGAACTTGTTATCATCTTGCTTCTCCATTGATCTTGATGATGAGTCCTGCCAATCAAATCCTAGAACCAAAGTTGTACCCAAATCTGTAAATCAAAACGATCAAACAACAACACTCTCGAGCAATAGGAAGAAAGATTTCAGTTACGAATCAAAGCCTTAAAAATCTCCAACAACTCAGAAAAGAATCGCGTCGTGTTGAATCTCGAAATAGTAAAACATATTTGGATATGTAAGATTTTAGGTGAAAATCTATACTATTAAAACATAAGGACAAGCTGTGTCCAAACAGGCCCAATTGTTTTAAAAAAATGTCATAAAATTAAAACCTGTTGCCAAACAGAATAAAAGACAGCATTTTTTTTTTAAAAAAATAAATAATAAAAAAACAGAAACTATCTATATTTATGGATCATACTAATTTTGTTGCCAAAAAAGTGGACAATTAAATTTGAAAATCTCCATATATAACATATTGAAATTTTTTGGATATTTTTTAAACAATAATTTAATATTTAATAAATTCTAATTTATAGTATTTGTATTTGGTTTAATGATTTTATTCAAGTGTTTATGTTATTAGTATTTTGTATAAATCTTATGATATGATATATATTTATTTTGCGTTACAAAATCATCATATATATTTTGTTTTAAATTGATATTTTAGGAAAAATAAAAAGAAAAATAAAAAGAAAAATAAATATGTTATATATTTTACAATAGCATAAAATTGGAGAAATATTAAAAAAATTTGATATTATCTTAAAGTCTTAAATAAATAATTAAAATGTTTTAGTAAAAAAAATCTTTAAAAAATCAATAATAATTTTGTTTTTTCAAAAATCAATCTAATAAATATTTTGCATCACATACAATCTCTTATTTTCACATTAAAAATCTTCATACTGAAAATGTTTAGCAAAAAAGATATTTATATATTTCCTTGAAATAAAATAAAAACCAAAATAACATGTGACCAAAAATAAAATCGTCAAATAAACATTACTTATTATTAACATCAATTTAATAATATATTAACTCCCCAATCTCGCTGGATATTAACTAATATAGAATTATCATTTAATAGTTTTAAGAAAGTTCAGGAAATCATATCACATGATTATTATATTTTCCATATAATATAACATTGCCAGTCCACAAAAAGAATTAAACAGTTAATGTATGTTACAAATAAATAAATAAAATCGAATAATTATGATAAAAAATTGAATAAAATAGTTATTTCAATTTCCAAAAAAGAAACGGGTAATACAAAAAAAAATATATATAACTATTTTTCATCAAAAACAAGACGATATAAAAAAATCTGGAAACTTCAATTCAATTTCAACTTTGAAATATCAAATGACAGGTATGATACATGAGTATGAAATAAAATAGCAAAAGTAAGTTTCAAATTACTTAATAATTTCAAATATCAGGACAAGAAATAATGGATACAAAAAGAACGGGTAATTTGATTAGTTAACTACAAGCTATATAATATTGTTTTTAAAAAAATTGTTAATGATTTCATTTATATAAAAAATATACAATCATATCTTAGAGGGAAAATACGGATACAAAAAGGGAACGGGTAATTCTAAAAATAAATTATCTAAACTATTTTTCATTACTTAAATATTTCAAAAGTAAGTTTAAATTACCCTAGTATAATGAAAAAGTAAGTACTATTTAAATAGCAAAAAGTAAGTTTTAAATTACTTAAATATTTCAAATATCGGGACAAGAAATAACGGATACGGAAAGAGAACGAGTAATTTAATTAGTTAACGGGTTTGACTGATGGTGTAGTAATAGCAGTTCAATTTGGTGTAGGGCATGCATAGTGAACGTGTTTGACTCTCCTAATATATATATATGTATATTTATGTTATTTTATTCTAAAGTTTTAATGTTTTTCATTGGTTTATGTGATGTGATAGTTCATAAATTTAATTAATTTCTAACTTATCACTCATTCGGTTTACAACTCGATCCGGGTCTCTTATCATGTCGATTCAAATATTTTGAAACTTTATGATAAACTTAACTTTTTCAACCAACCTGCACGTTTTTTTTGGAAGAAGGGGAAGATCTGGACAAAATCGATGAAATGGAAGAAATCCGAGTGAATGAAAAAGACAAAATTAATAAGGATGATGAATTCCACGTTCGAACATACTATAAAACTGTTTCTGAAAATCTAGATGGAAATAAAGAAAATTCGAATTTAGAATTTTTCAAAATAAAAAAAAAAGAGGATCATTTTTTATGGTTTGAAAAACCATTTGTAACTCTAGTTTTCGATTATAAAAGATGGAATCGACCAAACCGATATATAAAAAATGATAAAATTGAAAATACGGTACGAAATGAAATGGCACAATATTTTTTTTATACATGTCAAAGTGATGGAAAAGAACGAATAGCTTTTACATATCCCCCTAACCTTTCCACCTTTTTTGAAATGATCCAAAAAACGTGCGGGTCCATCCCTAGTAACATATTAAAAAACAATCGATTGTGACACTCTATCCTTACGTGAACGTAACCCATCTGTTTGCTCTCATAAGGATAGTACTCTACTCCCTTAATGAAGTTGAAGTAAACCAAACGACTCATAAAGAACCTCGAAATACTAACATCCAAACAGATAGAACTATATATAATTAAAGAACTCGAATCTGAAGCCGTTAAACAACATCCTCGAACGAGAAAGGAGTTCTGGCTACAGACACATCTGCTTTCTCCTTCTCGAGCTGAACTTCAAGGTCTGCGCACTTGAGCTTCAATTTCTTCAACTCTTCCTCTATTTCTTGCACCCGAGTCTCACCAGCTTCCTCCTTCTTCTTCTTTTCTGACAATAGGTCCAGTTTCTCATCCAACCAACTCAGATTCATCCCTGTGTCTGCCAAGTAATCAAGAGCAGCATTTGCGTCTGCCAGATCATCCTCGGACAGTTCTTGACTGGGCTGGCACATCGTCTCGATTAGGCTGAGGAGGACATTCATGCAAGCTGACCTCAAATGCTGATTCTTCGGACGGAACTCTGATGCTATGTCGGGGTGTCTTTCAAATATATAGCTCACAGTTCCCACCTGAAAGTGATAGAAAGATGAATTAAGTAGAAAAAAAATACATTTTAAAGGGTGCAGTTATCAGAACAGACCACATCACAGAGACATATAATAAGAAACATTTACTATTTCACTGAATCTATAAGTGCTCTCTGTTACTTGAGAAAACAATTCACAAAACAGAGAAGTTTTATATGTTCTCAAGTGTTTGGAGTATTAATGTTAAGAAGCAATTGTACCATCTTGATTTTATACCTGTGAAGGAAGGACTCGAAAGCCATTGACATCAATGTTTTCCTTTTCCAATGAAGCTTCCTTGGGCGAATCATTAGACTCCGCACCATTACTTTCCTCTAAATTGCTCAGAGCTTTGGTTGTCTCTTCACATTCCTCTGGTACGTCTAGTTTGCCAATAACTTCAAGAACAGCTACCTCGGCAACAATCGTGAGATCTCCATTAACCAGCAATCCACCATCTTTTTCGTGAATTTTATCCAGGGGAAGCATTGATGTAAAACCAAAGTCCGAAGCATTCGCATCAAACCAGTGTTTTGTACCTGTAAACCCAAAATAAATACCATTTTGATCACTGATTTCCACATCAAATAAAGCCATACATGAGCTATATGCTTTATAATGGACTGACAATTATATAACTCGGAACGGAACTTTGAAGCTAGCCTTATACCAACCCAACTCAAACAACATATCAAGTAATGAGCAGTCTGTGTACAGAAACAATCACCTCTAGCTTGAGAGAGGACTCCATAGACTTGATTCCCTACAGTAAAGTGAAAATATGCGTGTCTTCTCCATCCATGAGGCAAAAATTTGCTAGCAGCAACGGCTAGATACAAGGAAAAATACTCTACACCATTTCCTTTAGGAAAGGCTAGAAGACGCCTGCAAAGAAAATCTAGTCAATCGGACAAAACAAACCCTAAATAGATGAAATCATCAGAAAAATAACTTCACTTGTTACCACTTGCAGCCATCAACGACAAATTCATCCGAGTAAATTTTCCTTGATTGGAGAGAGCAGATATCCTTAATTACCCAAGTGAACTTTTTGGCATCAACTTTTTTCCCCATTCTTCTTTGCAATCAAGCTACCACAACAACAAGTCAAGTCTTAAACGAAACAAAAAAAACAAAACCCTAATTAAATTTGCAAACAATCAAGCAACCACCAAAACCTAAACAGAGATTCAAACTCCTTGGTACAACACTCTTAACACATCAAAAACAATGTAGCATAATCATCGACATATATATATATATAGTTTACGAAATCAAAAGAGTAGAAGAAAGATTTTACCTTCTTTAAGGGAAACACGTACGCGTGGAAAGAAATTGGAAGCCAGAGAGTCGGAGTCTGAATCGCAAGCCCTCAAGGAAACTTGTTTGGTACGACGACCAACACTGACTTCTTTTACTGACGGCGTCATATTTTAGATATCTTTAAAACCTTTTAACTAACTTGCGTTTACGTTTTCTTAAACCGACACGTTGTCTAACAAACGGAGCACTAAACGGCAGGCAGTTGTCTTTTCAAAAGTTAGAAACGGCATCAAATCCTTAAAAAACAATCAAGTTTAGAAGACAAAAAGGAACAAAAACAGAGAAGGTTACAATTGCTGAAAGAAACATTACTTATTACGCAAGACACTCAAATCTCTTAATCTTCTCAAGTTTAAAATATGATATATCCTCGCTTCCTCAACTCTCCCTACAAGGAAGTTATTAAAATAAGGAAAGCGCAAATAGAAAGACTACAAGTAGAAAATACTATTCCTAATTAAACAATGGGGAACTTTCAGATTAAGAAGCGCAACTTCAAATCTTAATTTTTTATTTTTTTTAATCGAATGACATAAGTGAAGCCGAAGCTGCAGCTTTCTCTTTCTCCAGGTCGGCTTCAACTTCTGCCAATGCCAGCTTTCGCTTCTTGACATGTTTCTCTAGTTCTCTGATCCGTGTGTCGTACTCTATCTGCTTTTCCAAAGCCTGATCCAACTTCTTACGCAACCAATTCAAATTCAAGCCTGCTTTTGTCAGATCAGAAAGCGTATTGTCTGCTTTCTTCAGGTCTTCCACGGTGAGCTCCTTAGAAGATTTGCACAGTGTCTTGATTAGCTCAAGAAGAGCATTCATGTATGCATTCTTGATCTGTTGATTCTTTAAACTGAAGTCCCATGTGAGATCTGGATGTTTCTCAAAGATTGCCTTCACCTGATCAACCTGTGATGATGACGATGTTTAGCAAGAAGCCAAAAGGGTCAAAAATTCAGAATATTGAAAACAAGAGGTTGTCAAGCTTTATTATATATTTAGTACCTGCGAACTAAGAACCTGAAAGCCGTTGACTTCAATAGTTACATCATCTTTGTTCTGCAAATCTTCAGATGAAGAGGAATCATCAGGAGTTCTCTGTTCGTTATTATCACTAATCTCTGCAACATATAGTGGTGTACTTAATGTGTCAGTAACTTCAAGAACATCTACTTCAGCAATAATCAGAAGCTCCCCATTTAACAAGAAGCCACTATTTAGGGCAATAAGGCTGATTACGGGAATCATGTCTCTAAATCCCCAAATCACAGCGTCCTTATCAAACCAGTGCCATCCTCCTGTAATAAATAGTTGTATTTCAACAGATAACAACAATATGACGTTATTAACATATAGCCAGCACTCATGGATCATGATCACAACCATTAATTGTGAAATATATATACTTTTATGTATGGAATATGTCTCAGAGAGGTGATTGACTAGAGTGAAGCGATAGTCAACGTATCTTCTCCATCGGAGAGGCAATAATCCCGGAGCAACTTCCAGAAACAGAGAAAAGTATCCGGAATAGATTCCGGTGGGATGAGCAACAAGACGCCTGCCACAAATCAAGAATAACCAAAAACTATTACAGTATGTATATGGATGATTCATCATTTATATATATTATGCCATCACGTTCTAATTATTGTCGAGAAAACACTTGGAAAAAAAAACAATTACCATTTCGAGTCACCAATTAAGACTGGAACAGAGAAACACCACTCACATTGCATGTCTTTTATCACCCAACCAAACCTCTTATAACCACCTTGATCTGCCATTGAAGTAATTGAATGAAGATTCTAGCTTCTAGCTAGAGACAATAAAGAAGAAAACCCTTTTTTAAATTCAAAACCCTAATCAGACGCACTGATAAAAGAATGGAGAAGACGTTTTTTTTTTGTTGGTACGGGAGATGCGGTTGTGCGTGCGATCAGATAATGCGGAGAGGTTTACAAATTGCGTCTAGTGTGTTGGATGTTGGCTCTATTTTTATCCGGTTTAACTCGTTGAACCAGATAGCTAGACTTTTGTGTTGCGTTACTGCGTACGGTGCTTTGAACTTAATTAAACCGGTTCAATCTTCCTAAGGTTGAACAAATTGTTTCAATCAACATTAAGGTTTATTGCATGGAAAACCATCATATCTTGAGAAAGAATGAATTCAATGCATAATCTGTCTTTATATTTCAAGTGGTTTTACATTATTTTGGAAATTGAGGTATATTTACATCATATTTAATATAATAAAGTAAAAAATAAATTAATAATTACAAAACAAATATAATTAGAAAGTACACACTATAAGAAGTCCTACTCTGAGATACCCCATTTTTCCAAAGAAAATTCTTATATAAGATATTTTCTTTGAAAAAGTGGGGGTATCTTAGCCCCCTAAGATACCCCAATGAGGATAGTCTAAGTGCACTGTTGTATAATGGACTCCACTCAATAACAATGTATAAGCAGCAAGCTATCAGTAGTGATTAAAACCAGAAAAGCTACCTTCCACATTGAACAAAATGAGACTTTTAAAACAAAATACAATTAAATGGGGAAAATTTCGCATCCAAAACGCCAGGACGACGAGGAAGAGTTACCAAAGAAATTTCTTAGTTCAGGAAGTTCCGAACGAGAGTTTTAATATTACGAGGATATTAGCGTGCGTCACAAGCTATTTGTTTCTCCAAAGCCTTATCCAGCTTCTCACGCAACTAATCCAACATGAAGCCTGCTTTTGACAGATCAAAAATCATACTAACTGCCAAATTTATGTCATCCTTAGTGAAGTCCTTAGGTGACTTGCTCAGTGTCTTGGTTAACTCAAGAAGAAAGCTCATGTAAACATTCTTGAGATTTTGATTCTTTGAATTGAGATTCGATGCAAGATCTGGATGTTTCTCAAAGATTTCCTTCACTTGATTAACCTGTGTGAAGATGGTGCAAACAACATAAACAAAGGCCATATCAGTTTGTATCAAATATTGAAACAAGAGTTAAAATCATTGTCAAGCTCAATTACTTGTGAATCAAGAACATGGAAGCCCTTGATCACAACAGTTAGATCCTCCTTGTCATCTTCAGATGAAGAATAGTAATCAAGAACTGTCCATTCACTATCATCACTAATATTTGCAACTTGTGATGTGCTAATAGCTTCAAAAGTTTCTACTTCAGCAACAATCATCAGCTCTCCGTTCACCAAGAAGCCACTCTTTGTATCATTAAGTTTTGTTAGAGGAATCATGTCTTCCCAACCCCAATCAGGAGCTTTCTTATCAAACCACTTTCGTCCCTCTGTAACATTTCCACCCCATTAACTGGTTAATCAACATATAATAGATGAATAGGTGTTCACTTATTGACTTCAAAAAAAACTTGTTTCAGCTGTGACTACGTACCATTCATAAAGTGTTAGGTAACACTCATCAAAATTAATTAGCTAGATAGATTTACCTTTCTTTACCGAGAGTTGCTCGGATAGTTGATTAACCACAGTTAAGTGGAATTGTGTATATTGTCTCCACCCACAAGACATTGATGCGAAATCAACTTGCAGATACAGAGACAAGTGATCACCAGTATTTTCCTCAGGGTAGACAAATAGACGCCTGCCAGAAAATATAGATGATTAACACACAACATAGGTTTAAATATGGACGGGAACATACTTGGAAAGAAAAATATCTTATTTACCATTTGACGTCACGGATCAGAACTGGAACAGAAACATAACAATCTTGTAATTGCAAAGATGAAAAATTCTTTATAACCCAAACAAACTTCTTATCAAATGGGTTCACTATTAATGTCATGAAGATTCTTCGTTTCAAATAAGGTACAAAACTCTTTTGATAGTTTACAACGACGTCATATGAATTGGAGTAGACAAGAGGGTTTTTATAGAAATGGAACGGAGACGACGAAGAAGGTTATATTAAATCCTTTTTAAGCGTAACCTAACGTAAAATCATATTTGTCTATGAGAATATATCTAGCTCTTTTAGTTTTGTAACAGATATTTGTTAGATAGACACGAGACATTTTCCAACAAACTAAAAATTCAACATATAGATTTTCTAGGGATATTTTCTTAGCTTATAAGTCGGAATTATTCCTCTTTTTTTTTTTTTTTAAAATAGATTTACAATAACCTAATTTTTAACCTATCTCAAAGTATGTGTTGACTTTCAATCGCTATGACTCTTCTTATTGAGTTTAATACTCTGTCTCTGATTGGTTATGTACATATTTCATACTTGAATAAGAAATTATTTATTAAGGAAATTAAAAGAAGAAAAAAATAGAAACAGAGGAACTTCACCTAAAACAGAGGAAAGTTATAAGAAAACAAGAAACAGAGGAAAGTTATAAGAAAACAAGAAACAGAGGAAAACAAGAAAGTTAAAGCATCAATCAGTGCGGATATATGTATATCAGACGGAGTTTCAAACAACGTGGCTGAAATCAAAAGGAGTTTCAACAGCCAAAGCCGCAGCTTTCTGTTTCTTCAGATCAGATTCTAAATCCGACAAATTCAGCTTTCTCTTCTTGACTTGTTCCTCAAGTTCTCTGATGCGTACCCCAATGGCGCGTTTTCTCTCCTTCTTCAGGAAAGCTTCGTCAAGTTTCTGACGCAACCAGTGCAACTTCAAGCCAGCTTTTGTCAGATCCAAAACTGTTCGGTCAGCTTTGTTTAAATTCTCCATTGTGAGATCCTTTGGCGATTGGCACAGTGTCATAATTAGGTCGAGAAGAACACCCATGTACGCATTTTTGAGCTGTTGGTTTTCTATTTTGAAATCTGATGCAATGTCTGGATGTTTTTCAAAGATTTCATTCACCTGGCTTAACTGTGAGTGAAACAAGAAACGGTCGAATCATTTTCTTACTCACTCGAACTGAAATTAAGAGTTTTTATTTGTGAAATGTCATATGCTTTTATTACCTGCGAATCAAGAATCTGAAACCCATTGACTTCAACAACTTCATTAACATCCTCTGAGGACTCCGACCATTCTTCAGATGAAGACGAGTATCTCTGCTCATCATCGCTAGATTCACTACTTTCTCTCTTTCTCACCATTGCTTACGAAGAATGGAGATAGATAGCTGAGGATTAATTAAACTTTCAGTGTTGCAGCTAGGAATGGTGACCAGAGAGGATATTTATATTTGTGGAGTTATAAGGGATTGGTATTAAGAAAATGCATGTATATTTGACTCTTGTCATAAATATTAAATGGTTAAGTTAAAGAACCAATCTATATTTATTCTGTTCATCTAATCGAGTCACTTTATACACACTCAAACGCATTACTTCTACATCAATGAGTTTAATGCTAAAAGAACCTAGAGAAGAGTAATCAACCAACACCAAAAAAACTCTATACAACATGAGCACACATAAGATTTAAAGTCTATACACAAAATCAACCAAAACCGAATTCAACTGCATGTATAATTACATGGAGTTTAATTTTTAAGAAAGAGAATTCGATTTTTATCTTTTGTTACAAATTTAACGAAATCGAACACAAATCAATGTGCTGCGTAATTCTTTAAAAACGTTTTGTCCATAAATGTGCGCAAGTCGTCTTCATATATATGTGCTGCGTAAGTAAATTTTTTTTTGCCCGTTTATTACATCCCTAAATGTTTATTTATTGAAATTTCTGCAGTTACTAATATGGTGACCAATCAACCCCTTTTAATATGGAGCTTCAGGTCAGGTTGAAAAAATAAAAAAAATTTGGAGAGATTAATCTCATTGAACAGTGTCAAGAAAAGGGTAAATCTCATACCTAAAGTTACAACTACCACTCACAACTCTCCCTCCTTCTTTACCATTGCAGCAATTAGGAAGCTCCCCAATAATTTTATCAAGACACGTCTTACAAACTGTAAACCATAAGTTCCGTGTACACTGAACCATTCCGTACAGCTTCATCTTCCCGAGATTCATCTCCCCCTTCTCGTACAACAGTAACTTATCCGATCTGCGAGTAGCTTTTGCGGCCAACTCAGTGAGTAGAGCCTTTGTCTTCGCATTAAAAGACCCCGGATCGCTTACTTTCTTTGTACTGTACATATAGAACTTGTTCTTGTAATCGATCTTCTCGAAGAAAGCTGTTGGAGAAATCTTGAGAAGACATTTGTCAAACCATACTATTCCGGCCTTGCTCATCGGACATCTTCTACGTAGCTATCATATACATAACAATATATACCACAGTTAAAAACAAAGATTGCACGCACCAATTTACGTATGTGCGTAACTGCGTATAGGTATTAAAAGCCTATAATATTAGTTCATTTAATAAACTGGTTGTGAAAAAAAAAAAAAAAAAAACTGGTTGTGGAAAATCATCAGAAATCACTAGGTTTTTTTTCTGTGGTAAAAAATACTTCTAGACAAAGCTTTCGAAAATCAGTTTTATAAAAAACTTGTGGCATTTTTGACAAATGTTTTATGTTATCTGTGGAAAAAATAAACATTGACGTGTGTGTGACGTTACCTCCGAGGTAGCGGTGGTGAGGCAGGAACCACACTTGGAGCCGTAGGAGTCACCGCGGCACTGGAGCAAGATGTAGACAGTATTGGGATCGTCACCATGATAGGAATAGACGAAACCTCTTACAAAAGTGTCTTTAGACATATCACTTATGAGAAAGTTGAAGTTTCCTTCGTATGGGCTCTTCGGCTTGTATTTCCCTTCAGTCTCGGAGCATGTGTGGTATAGATACGCATTGGTCTTGTTCATAGAAGAAACACTATGTATAAGGAAAGCTTGTATGGCTACCACGGCCAAGTTAAGGACCAAAAAGATACTTTTCGATATGGAGGATGAAGACATTATTTTTGGATTCTTGATTTTCCTTTCTTATGCAGAAGAATGGATGCTTTATTATAAAGTGGTAGAGTCGAGGGATTTAATAGCTGATTTGGCTTTCATAGTTAGATGAAATGATTATGTGAAACGATTTTTTGTGTGTGTTTTACCTTACAAAACTCGGTTTATTTAGAAGAGCTGTTTTATTCGGTTCTGTAATGGATACGAGAGAAGAGTTGGGTTGTGACTTGGTATATGCGGCGAGTGAAGGGCCGATGAAAAAGTCAAAATTTAAAGGTTTGACTGAGTTAAAACTTTTTATAAAATAGAGTATGACGACTTTTTTACTATTTTAATCGTTTCTTTATTTAACAGTTGGAGCCAGAAATAAAAAGCATGAAAAGAAAAATAGAAATAAAAATCATGAAACACAAAAAAAAAAATGCATGTAAAGTGATCAAACAACATCATTGAACTTTAAAGGAGCTCCAATGGACAAAACCTCTGACTTCTTCGTCTCGCAGTTGTGCATCAAGTCATGAAGCTGTTGCTCTATACCTTGGAGTATGACCAAACCAGACTGTTCTTTCTCCTTCTTTTCTTTTACTTGGTCCAGCTTCTTCTCCAACCAATCCACCTTAAACCCCGAATCCTTCAAGTATGTCAGTGCAATGTCTACTTCCACAAGGTCTTCAATGGATAGCTCCTGAAGAGATTGGCACAGCGTCTCAATTACGTTGACCAGGAAATTCATGAATGTTTTCCTCAGATGTTGGTTCTTTACTTGGAAATTTTTCTGCAATTTCAGGGTGTTTTTCAAATATACGTCTCACACATTCTGCCTGCGAGTGGGAAAAAAGAAAATGTAAAAAGCATATAAGAGATACCATGCTTTAGAGATCTGAAAACACAAGAAGACATGATCTAACCATTAAATTTTAAAGTTCTTACCTGTGAAGGAAGAACTTGAAACCCATTAACATCAATGCTTTCCTTCACTTCTTGAGTCTTGATGAGTAAATCATCATTAGAATGTACAGATTCCTCTGTTTCATCTAGTGTGCCAACAACTTGAAGAACTTCTACCTCAGCAACAATCATGACTCTTCCATTTACCAAAAAACCACCATCGATGGCATTAAGTTTGGTAAGCGGAATCATTTCTTCAAAACCCCATCCAGGAGCACTCTGATCAAACCAACGCTGCGTTTCTGTAACTTATTTAACCCTCATTAGTTAATCAAATACAAATATAGCGCTCTGCATGAACTATATGCACCATTAAAGTAAGTAAGATCTAAACAACTCATCTACACACAAACCAGCTGAGAACTGATCAAGCGGAAATAAGAATTGCATTAAAACAATCTTGCATGCAGTATATATATATATATATATATATATATATATATAGGATTGTTAATGTTAAGTAAGTAAGAATGATCACCTTCTTGTACAGAGAGTTGTAGGGAACGCTGGTTTTGAATAGTCATACGAAGTTTGACGTATCTTCTCCATCCAGAAGGCAATGATTGAAAATCAGCAACTTCTAGATACAGAGAAAAGTAATCTGCTCTATATCCCTTTGGAAAAGCACAAAGACGCCTGCAAGAAAAACCCAAACAAGAAAAATTGTATCAAACTGATCATCACCTACATCTAATAACTAGTTAACTTTTATTCTTACCATCTGGAGTCACCGATCAAGACAGGAACAGAATAAGACCTCTCAGAGTTCAAAGAGGAGAAATTCTTAATCTCCCAACAAAACTTCTTATCAACTCCGTTGGCCATTAAATTTTGCTTATAAATGTTTCCTTGCAATCAAAGTTACCTGAATCTGGAAAATAAAAGAAGAAAGCCTCGTTTAAATGAATGTCACACTCAGCTGGTAATTCATAAAACTGAAACACACTCTCTACATACAACATAAGACGTAACTAAGATTCCACATATATTTTTGAAATCGAAACACAGTTGACACGCTCTAGACTAAAGAGTGCAATCCTTAGTTGAAGATTATGTTTCAATGTTTAACGAAGACAAAGTTCTAGAATGCGTCTCGCGATCAAGCAACAAGAAGTCTGAAGACAAAAAAAAAAAAAAACCCCTAGAACCTGAATGTCACAAACACGTACACAACCCAAAATTATGTACATCGAACAATCAATTAATATTAGGGATACAATATCCCACATTGGAAGTTGAGTAGGATCTTAAGTGGTATATATAAGATATGGGCCTCTCCACTCATTGCCAATTGGTTTTAGCTTGGAAGCCCACAATCTAATATGGTATCAGAGCCCGGTCTGCACAAACTCAACCCAATCCACAATCGGTCTGGCCCAATAGTTGGTCTACCGATTCATGCCCGAGCATACCGAGATTTATGGCAAAAAAAAGCCATCATCTCGAGGGGGCGTATTAGGGATAACAATATCCCACATTGGAAGTTGAGTAGGATCTTAAGTGGTATATATAAGATATGGGCCTCTCCACTCATTGCCAATTGGTTTTAGGTTGGAAGCCCACAATCTAATATGGTATCAGAGCCCGGTCCGCACAAACTCAAACCAATCCACAATCGGTCTGGCCCAATAGTTGGTCCACCGATTTATGCCCGAACATACCGAGATCTATGGCCAAAAGAGCCATCATCTCGAGGGGGCGTATTAGGGATACAATATCACACATTGGAAGTTGAGTAGGATCCTGACTAGTATATAAGATATATGGACCTCTCCACTCATTGCCAATTGGTTTTGAGTTGGAAGCCTATAACAAACCCTAATTTAACATGGTATCAGAGCCCGAATACACGCTAACCCATTAATTAATCCGGCCCAGAAAGAGGCCCGATCACCCCATTAATTGATGGCCCAAAAGAAGGCCCAATTCCATTGAGATAGCTAGAAGAGCATTATCTCGAGGGGGCGTGATGGATTCTGTCGAGATTAATGGCTAAAAGAGCCATTATCTCGAGGGGGCGTGTGGAGAAAAGATCCCACATCGGAAGATGTGATGGGACTTGAGTAATATATGAAGGGTTAGGGTCAATCCACTCATTGCCAATTGGTTTTGAGTTGGAAGCCCATAACAAGCCCTAATTTAACAATTAACAAGTACTAATACCAATCTCGATAAACAAAAACCAACATAAATCATAAAAACAACCATATACACGAACAAAGTCGAGGGAATCGTAAGGTACTAAAAGGATTCACCACTTGAAATTTGATAGCGAGATGCTAGGGTTACTGTTGGTGAATAAGTAAATACTCTTTAGGACCTTTGTACCGCATTATATAAGCTTAATTAAACCCGGAAATAAAAAGGTTCCTACTAATTAATTAGATTTGCTTAGATAATTCAAATAAAAATTAAACAAGCTCTAAAATCATATTTGAGACTTGATCAAGCAAACTAAAAAGTCTCCAACAGAAAGGAAATTTGCTGAAACAAAGGAAAGTTAGCAGCCAGAACCGCAGCTTTCTCTTTCATAAGGTCGGATTCCAAGTCGGACAAAGCCAGCTTTCGCTTCTTGACCTGTTCCTCGAGTTCTATGATCCTGGCCCTTACAACTCTCTGTTTCTCCTTTTTCAAGTAAGCTTCCTCCCATTTCTGACGCAACCAACCAACTTTCAAGCCTGCTCTAGTAAGATCAAATAGCGTATTCTCTGCTTCGTTTAGCTCTTCCAAAGAAAGCTCTTTTGTCGACTTTCACAATACGTTGATAAGGTCTAGGAGGGCATCCATCATAGCATTCTTGAGCTGTTGATTCTTAAACTTGAAATCTGAAGTGAGTTCTGGATGGTTTTTAAAAATTTCCTTCACCTGTTTTTCCTGTGAACCAGAAAAACGCAAACTGAAAAAGTCAAATCGGATCATCAAAATCTATTTTTCATGTTCTGTTAGAGAACAGATAATTGAACATTGTCGTGCTTACTTGTGACGAAAGAAGTTGAAACCCATTGACGTAAACAGTATCTTCATCTTCCGACGACAAATCTTCAGACGGAGACAAATCATCGTCATTGCTATCAACAGGCACATGACTATTTTCTTTCTTCGACATTTTTAAGATGAGAATTCCTCAGCTTTCAAACTTTAGTTTAGGATGAAGCAGAGTTGAAGTCAGGTGATCACATATGTAAAGAAAACGCTAACATAAATACGAACCTTGACTCCTCGTGACTTGATACTATTTGGCATATATAATTACTATCAATAAAGTAAATACTCCATTGGTAAACTTTCACCAAAAAAAAATACTCCATTGGTAAACAACGACAGATATTGAACTGCATGCAACTGAGACGCTTGTTTGGTACCGACTCTTCGTATCACAAACTAAGTTTTTAATTTACACTTTATGGCTTTATCGTTGACCAAAAAAAAACCCCTTTATCAGAGAAAAGAATAAATAATATGTCCATATACAACGACATTACTTTATCATCAAGGCATTGAATAAAAATGAGAGAAACTAAGGCAAAACACTAAAACTGAGTCACTCCTATGATAAAATCTCCTACAACTTCATCTCATTGCTACTTCATTCAGACATTGGCGCATTTGGTGTACAAGTCATCCTGTGGAAATTGTTTTGAGTTCATATTGATTCTATACTAAATGATCAATCACCTTTACAGAAATGAAGAGATTTACATTTTACAACATTGTGTATATTCCCAAGACATGGGTCTCTTTTAAATTCCTAAGTTTTAAGAAGACTCGATCATTAGCAAGAACATCCCAGGTAGAACCAAACTCCAAGTGCCATTAAACAATATCATCGAATGAGATAGGAGCTTTTGAGCTCGACACTTTTGCCTTCTCCTTCTCCAACAAAGCTTCCATGTCTGAACACTTCTGCTTCATGTCCTTCAACTCTTCTTCCATTTCTTGCAGCACAGTCTCACTAGCCTCCTCATTTTCCTTCTTTTCTGACACTTGATGAAGTTTATTCTCCAACCAATCCAGTTTAAATCCAGCATCTTTCATGGTTCCCAATGCAGCATAAGCATCAAACAGATCATCCTTGGAAATATCCTGAGGTAACTGTCTCATAGTCTCAACCAGACTGAGTAGCAGACTCATGTAACCCGTCCTGAGAATCGGGTTCTTTGGACGGAAATCAGATGCAATATCTGGGTGTCTTTCAAACATACATCTCACAGATTTTGCCTGTTTTTGAAAAGAAAGGTTAAAAAATTAGAACCACAAAAGCACCATATGTCATATAGGACCACATCATAATACCTCTCTCGTGCCTGAAATTTCTATTCACATAAAGTTTGTTATTATTCTTAACTCTCTTACCTGTGAAGGAAGAAGTTGAAAGCCATTAACATCTACGATTTCCGTTATTGTTGAAGTTTCCTCTGTTACGTCAACTTTGCCAATAGTTTCAAGAACATCTATCTCCACAACAACTTTTACTTGCCCGTTTAATAGAAATCCACTATCTTTGGCATGAATTTCAATTAGGGGACACATGGATAGAAGACCCCAATTAGTAGTCTTCTCATCAAACCAGTGTTCTAGTTCTGTAAAATCACACAAAAAACAAAACTCATGCATCAATTGGGTTTGAATAAAAGCCCTAAATAAACTATGCACCTGTGGTTTGAGCAACAATGTTCACAACTTGGCAAAAAAAACTTTTAAGCTACTCTAAAACGACCCTGAGCAACACATAACCCCCGTCTGAGTATAAAGTGAATATTTTTGGGTTTACCTTTAAGTTTTGATTGAGAGAGTTTATCTGATAAATGATTTACTATACTCAGACGAAATTTAGCGTGTCTTCTCCATCCAAGAGGCAAAGAAGTACAATTATGAACACCAAGAAACAGGGACAAGCTATTAACATTATTATATCCCTTGGGATAGGCCTGTAGATGCCTGAACAAAAAAAAACACCAAAGAAAACAAATCATGCAAACCCAAAATAGACGAATTTTTTTTAGAAAAGTAGTTACCATTTGCATCCACCGACGACAAAAGGATCAGAGTAAATAACGCCGGCTGGTAAAGAGGAGAAGTTTTTAATCGTCCAAGTGATCTTCTTTTTATCAAGTTGCTTCCCCATTGATCTTGAATTCTTGATGAAGCTTCCTCTGCAAACAAAGAAAAAGAAAAATACTAGCAGAGCATGAAGAGAGAAAAAACCTAGAATTAATCCAAGCTGAGAAACAAATAACAATCTCTAGCAGCATATCCAAATTTCAAAATTTAGGATTCCTATATATATATATATATGGAATCAAATCCTATGAGATAGTTTGAGTGCTACGTTACAGTTTAATGAAAATGTCAATCGTTTAGTTTACGATACACGAGGAATACGAATCACTTTAGACTCCTTTTAGGGTTACTTGGAACATGGGCATTCTGGATTCTATCTTTGGGTTCTGAGGTTGACTCTTGCTCGATTCTTTTTTCTCCTCCTTTCTTATATCGACCAGATTCTTGAGACTCTCTCTCAGCTACTTCTTTCTTTCCCTGATACGTAACTCATACGTTTAACTTGTCTTTTCATTTGCCTCACTGACTCAGCTTGTAACATTCTGTTTTAAAAACTCAGAGAAAAAGCATTTGCTGAAACACAATATATAACTGCATAAAAATTGTTCCAGTCAAATATTATAAATCGAAATAACGTAGCAAAGTATCTAAACAACACCACAAAGCCAAGTCTATCTGCAAGCGAACAGCGACCATGCCTATGAACTGAAACAAATACTAAAACACATCAGCGAATGATAGAGGAGCTTTTGCAGCTAAAACCTCAGCTTTCTCCTTCTCCAGCTGAGCTTCCAAGTCTAAGCATTTCTGTTTCAAACCTTTCAGCTCTTTTTTTACTTCTTGCATCCGAGTTTCACTAGCCTCTTCTTTCTCCTTCTTTTCAGACAGCTCCGCAAGTTTCTTCTCCAGCCACTCAACATTAAATCCAGCGTCAGTCATGGATCTGAGTGCAACATATGCCTCGTCCAGATCATCCTTGTGGAGCTCGTGAGGCGACTGGCGCAGAGTCTCAATCAGACTGAGTAACAAACTCATGTAACCTGTCCTAAGATTTGGGTTCTTTAAACGGAATTCAGATGCAAACTCTGGGTGTCTTTCAAAGATATGACTCACAAATTCCACCTGAGAAGGAATTCAAAAGTAGTCGGGAGCAGTTTTTGGAGACAACACAAAAGCACCATATATAAATATTGAACACTTCACATTGTCTCTTCTTACCTGTGAGGGAAGAAGTTGAAAGCCATTGAAATCCATGGTTTCCATAATAGTTGAAGTTTCCTCTGATACATCTAACTTCCCAATAACTTCAAGAACCTCTATCTCAGCAACAATTCTGAGTTCTCCATTCACGAGGAACCCGCTATCTTTGGCACGGATTTCATTTAGTGGAAACATGGACAGGCGACCCCAACGGGGAGACCGCACATCAAACCACTTTTGTTCTTCTGTGAAATCACAAACACTTAGAATAATCACTTCATTTTTACACCCAATAAAAAACACTACATGAACTATATGCTGTTGTGGTTTGAAAAGACAATGTTGCTCACAACTCGGTTAAACTAATCTAAAAGCCACCCAACACAAACACCTTTTAGCAACATCCGTCCCTATTATATCCTTTGTATTTAATAGTAAGAAGTGAACGTTCTAATTTGATTATATTGTGGTTATGATACTGTAAAAAATTGGAGACAAAGAGAGTAGTGGGAAGAGATAAGGACCATTTTGCTTGGAACGTTTAACGGAGTTTTGATTTACAATATTGAGGAGATAACGAACGTGTCTTCTCCAACCAGGTGACAGTGATCCGTAATCAGCTACTTCCAAATACATAAACAAATAATCGACGTTATTTCCCTTGGGGTAGACAATTAAGCGCCTGCACATGAAACATGAATTAATCAGCAAACACACTGTGAATTGAATTGTCCAAAATCATTCTACATAGGACCAAAATTAACAGTTGATGGAAACCTAACCACTTGCATCCACCGACGATGAACTGATCTGAGCAAATTTGCTCGGTTTTGGAAGAATAAGATGAGAAATTCTTAATCACCCAAGTGATCTTCTTAGCAACTTGTTTCCCCATTGATTGATTTTGACGACAAATTTCTAAGCAATCAAACCTAGCAGGGAAAGAAAAAATCATCAGATTCGTACGCACAAAACAACTTGTGATTCGACAAACAATCTCGACCTGAAAACCAACAGAGTCCGCTTTGGCTCCTTAGGGTTTATAACTCTTCTTTTATTTAGGAAATCCCTAAGAAAAAAATGTAAAACATCGATTTAATTAATGTTTCTTTATTGGTGAAATTCAATTTAATTTGTGTTTGACTGAGGGAAGTCCTTATAGTTTATAGAGCCCATAACTAAAAACATTGATAAACAAATTAATTAGTATTAAAACATATATAAATACAATTAACTATAAAAAATTCTTTATAGATAAAAACACTAAACATAATTTGTTTTCTTTCCTTTTTATCAGATCGAGAAGGAACGTCAAGGAGGTGTTTGAGCAATGTTTGGGTTCTCGTCATTTTGTTCTCTTGGTTTTATTTTCCTTTCGGTTTTTTATTTTATTTCATGGTCTTGTCTGATGATTTGAACTTGGTTGGTTAAAAAAAGAAACATAATTTTTTTCTTTTTTTGGTATGAAATAAATATAAAATTTCTCTGAATATAATTTTCTAAAGAAAATTAATAGAATAAGAGAGTCTTCAAGCATAGTCAAATTCACTTCTTTTTGTGTATCTTTCTCAATGTAAGCATATATCTGCTTAAGTAAATAATTTGTTTTTCAAAAGTTTCTGTATGACTTTGTAATCTTGATTTGATATCAATGAAATTGGAAGGAAAAAAAAATGAAATTAACTAAGTGAACTCTTTAATTGCCTAATCCTCTGATCGCACAAGCAGCCAAGAGGCCCAAGCCTTACTCACCATACTGTTCAGATACAGAGCAATTACTTTTTAATCAAGTAACTTATTTTAAAAACTTTTTGTCACTACAACAAAAGATAAAATGACTTCCAAAGTTTAAAAAGACTAAACCATTCGGAGCTAAGCAACAACCAAAAACGCCAACTCACCAAGTATTGAATCAAACTGAAAGAAATTGATAACGGTAAGAACATCAAACGATATCATCGAACGAGAGTGGAACATTGGCCTTTGAAACGTCTGCGTTCTCTTTCTCCAGAACAGCTTTCAGGTCCAAGCATCTCTGGTTTAATCTGTGCAACTCTTCCTCCGTTTGTTTCAGTCGAGCCTTACTAGTCTCCACTTTTTTCTTCTTTGCCTTAACTTCAGCGAGCTTCTTCTCCAACCAATCCAATTTAAACCCTCCTTTTTCCACGTATGACACTGCAACGGATGCTTCGTCCATATCATCATCAGAGAGCTCATCAGGCAACTGGCACAACGTCTTAATTAGTCCTAGGAGGACAGTCATGTATGTTGACTTCAGGTGCCGGTTCTTTGGACGGAATCTTGATGCAAAGTCTGGATGTCTTTCAAATATACACTTCACAGATTCTACCTGTCATGGAAGTTTTTAGATACATGACTGACATACTGTTTTGTCCAAAATTGTTTTAGATATATCCAAAAGCTGATGGACATCTACAATTTGGTTATCCATAACTGATTTTTCTTCTCTTTTATTTTTGTTTGGAAAATAATGTAAAATTATACTTTTCAGAGGTGGGTTTTCTGATACTTGAGAACAAACACTCTAATGTAGAACATATATGATCAAGACTCTTGAATTCTCTTTGAGATTTCTAGAAATGATACAGAGTTGAGTACTAATCTTTAAGTCTTCTTACCTGTGATGGAAGAACTTGAAACCCGTTGACATCGATGCTTTCCTTTGTTAGTGAAGTCTCATTGAGCAAATCATCATTATCATCATCAAGCTTGATCCTTTTCAGAGGTGGGTTTGCCTCTTGATCAGATTCTTCTGATACATCTAATTTTCCAATAACTTCAAGAACATCAATCTCCACAACAATCTTGACTTCGCCGTTCACAAGAAATCCACCGTGCTTGGCATGAAGGTTGGGAAGGGGAATCATGGATGTAAAACCCGAGCCAAGATTTCTCTGATTAAACCAATGTTGTTTCTCTGTTCACGAAAGATTTATACAACTCTAGTCAAAACCAACAAAGCAATATCTGCAGAAATGCACAATGCATAACAAGAACCTCTGCAGCAGCAGCACAAGTCACATGAAGTAGAACCATAAAATATGAACTTTTCACCCATCAACATATCACAAAGTAGCGAGTGTAGAAAGATTCACCTCCTCGTTGGGAGAGGTTCTCCGCAAGTTGATTCACTATAGTTAAAGAGAACTGAGCGTATCTTTTCCATCCAGAAGGCAATGCTCTAGAGTCATCAACCACCAGATACAGAGACAAGCTATTATTAAATTTGTTTCCCTTGGGATAGGCCAGAAGATGCCTGCAAATTAAAAACACAATTGACAAAAGTGGATGTCCTCATAAACATCAAAATTGGACTACAATAGTTTGAAAAACAAGAGAGTCTATTGACTTACGTACCATTTGCAGCCATCAATCACGAATGGCTCAGAATACATTTTATCATATTGTAAAGAGGAGAAATTCTTAATCACCCAAGTGTACTTGTTATCAACTTCTTTTTTGTAATCAACTTCTCCACTCTCCATTGAAGACTCCTAGCAACCAAACTACCTTTAAAACAAATTTCATACACCCAGATTCATGTAATATATATTATACCAAAGGAAACACATCTCGAGTAACAAAATCAAAACCAAACCTAAAACTCCACAGTTAGTTTAACTTAAATTCCACTATTAACACGTAGTCGCCATGTCAAGGTTGAACCAAACGCTTTGAAATCATAAACAAAACTTGAAAAATGTAAATTTAAAAAGGTTTTAAATTCTGAACTCTAACACTGCAGCACTACTTCAAAACATCTAGCTATGACAGATAGAGAGAGAGGGAAACATGAATGCAAATCCATTTTGAGTAGGAAAGTAAATAACTTTTTATATGGCTTAGGAAACATGAATTGAAAGCTAGAGTAACTATTGGTGTAAATATAAGTTAATGATCAATACTTTCCCCAACCATGATGATTTACCAGGATTATAAATCGCTAAAATAGGTAATACAAGGATATTCATACTCTGTTTCTCTTGTCACTCAGCTTCCAAAATTTCCCTGCGCAACACTTAGGTTGTACTTTACCTAAACACTTTTATTATTCCGGATAAGGTCATACAATATTAGTTTGGATATGAAGATCAAAGGTTAGAGTTTAGCTCCTATATTCAAGGGATAGCATATATCTCATAACTCAAGACATCAAAGTATCAAACTATAGAGGACTTTTTGGCAGACAAAAACTCTGAAAACAGATAATAACATAGGCCAAATTCCAGATCTCCAAAAAGGGTTTGTTCTATGCATGATACTTGTTCAGACATAAGAATTTAAGAACCATTTGTTCACCAAAACCAAGGGACACCATTAGAAAAATATTGTTTAAAAACATCCGACAAACAATAATATAGCCTTCCAAAGTTTAAAGAAGAGTAATTATGTATTTTTGAGCCAGGACACCACCAGAAACACCAAGTATAAAAATCAAAATAAAAGTTAAGGAGGACTTAAAAGAACATCAAACAACATCATTGAAAGAGAGAGCAACATTGGTGTCCAACAAACTCGCATTCACCTTCTCCATCAAACCTTTCAGTTCTAAGTATTTTTCATTCAATAGTTGCATGTTTTCCTCCATGTCTTGCAGACAAGCCTTACTAGTATCCGCCTGGTGCTTCTTTGCCTTGACTGCTGCGAGCTTCTTCTTCAACCAATCCACTTTAAAGCCACATTGTGCCACGTACGAAACCGAAGCGGATGCTTCATCCAGATCATTATCAGAGAGCTCCATAGGCAATTGGCACAGCGTCTCAATTATTCCGAGTACTACATTCATGTAGGTTGTCCTCAAACATGGGTTCTTGACGCGGACTTCTGATGCAATGTCTGGGTATTTTTCAAATATACGTATCACAGATTTTACCTGTGAAAGAAGGAAAAAAAAAAGAAAAGAAAGAAAGAAAAAGATATCATATATAGAAGGGAGGCCCTAATACATGAGAGATTATTTCAAAACTGAAAACCACAAAAGTCTCCTTAAGAAGTATACTATACTCTAGTAGTTGTGCACAAATCTTAAGTTTCTTACCTGTGATGGAAGAACTTGAAACCCATTGACATCAATGCTTTGCTTGTCTGATTTACCTGAAGTGCCAATAAACTCAAGAGCAACAACCTCAACAACAACTGTTACTTGTCCGCGAACCAGATATCCGGCATCTCTTTCGAGAAGGTTGGAAGGGGGTGCTACTGTTGGATAACGACGAGTGGGAAGATTCTCATCAAAGTAGATGTCTGAATCTGTAGCATCGATCAGGACAGGTAGTATTGTGTCGAGTGAGTAGGTATAAGTTATAGTAGTGAATAAAAACAACTTATTGTTAAGGGAGCGTTTTTGAGAAATATAGAATAACCTGTGACAAGGGAGCGTTTTTGAGAAATCCCATTAACTATTGTTAAGCGAAGCTTTACATGTCTTCTACATGTAGAAGTAAGTGACTGACAACAATCATCAGCAACTCCCATATACTGATAGAAGAACTCAAAGTTAGTTCCCTTGGGTATGGCAACAAGACTCCTACAAGGCAAAAAAGAAAAAAATAATGAACCACAAGTTTGTTTAATAAGGCGAAAACATATGATATGAGTATGACTCAGCGCTTAATTATTAGAACAAAGATTGATTCAATTTATACCATTTACTGCCAGCAATCACGAATGGATCGGAATGACTCAGCTTAGGGTTGCAGATGCTGAGATTCTTTATCACCCATACGAAATTCTTTTCAACTTGCTTCTCCATTGAATGTGTGACTTAATTACCTACAGGAGCGAGTATATCAAACCCTAGAAGAACAGAGAGGTCGCCAACAACCTAATTCATAAACCTACTAAGACATATCAACGGATTAAGGCAACAAAGCGATTACCCTTCTTAAGAGATGAAGTAGAGAGAGAGAGACACACACACGGACGGACGAGATGTCAGAACTCTTACACAAGTCTTCTGATCAGAGTGGAGAACCCAATTGAAAAACCAAACTATTCCTGGACTCAAGTTCACATATATACGAGAAAAATTAACCTAAAATAAAAACCAAACAAGGAAAAGAAACGGAAAGAGAAATCCGATTGCAATAAGGAAATAAACTACTCACTCACTCCTATTAGACTTTTGGACTTGAGATTTTTTTCTTAGCTGAAGACAATTTTCCAGGGCAAAGTCCTTGGAGGATGCATTGAAAAGAGATAGACACAAGGATACCAAACGTTTTCTACTAAGATTTTTATAATATTTTAGTAACTTAAAGCATACAAATATTTTAAAGTAAAATCATGAAATCTAATAATATATTTTTTCAGTCAATTAAAATATTTACGCTTTATTCTTGACAACAAATTCATTTCTCTAATTCACAACACTCTGTTCAGATACAGAGCAATTACTTTTTGATCAAGTAACTTATTTTAGAACAACCAAAACCAAGGGACTCACTCCATTACAAATAACTACAGGAAAATTAGGAATACGATATTAATCATCCGAAGTTTATAGATGAGCTGACCCAAGCCACAACAAGAACACCAACGCATTTCTGAGAACTTAAGAACATCAAACGAGAAAGGAACATCATTGGCAGCTGACACATTTGCATGATCCTTCTCTAGAAGATCTTTCAGATCAACCTATTTCTGATTGAGTTTCTGCAGCTCATCCTCAATTCGTTGCAGCCGAGCCTTAGCAGTGGCTTTAACATAGAATGGAGGAGAGACATAATGATATCGCACAAATCTAAAACAGAGTACTCTGTTTCTTGATCGTAAAGACGGATTTTGATTCACTTTTCTCCTATTTCTTGATCATAAAGAGGGGTTAGAGAGAGAGAGAGAGAAAAAAGGAATGCAAAACGATCTGATTACTCGAGCGAGGAGATAGAATCTGAATAGCTTTTGCCTTCACGATCTCATTGATGTCTAAAACACTTTGTGATATAATTTGGGGAACATGCATGGTATACGCAATAATAACTATTGGTGCATGATGATGACTGATGTGATGTTAATTAAGTTCCAGCCGGCGAACAACGAAGGGGCGAGAGTACCGACAACACTCGTCTTTCAAAGTGGTTGTGTCTTTGTGGTTAACTTTCAAAACAAGTCAAAGAACCGTATAATCTGAGCCAGACAAAATAAAAGCAAATCGGTTGAAACCAAAACTAATTGAGCCAAGTTAAACCAAAACTAATGAAACCGGGATTTGAGCTTTTTTTGGTATCAGCCGTGATTTGAGTTGCACCAACCTTACAAGAAGAAGACTCGTTTCTTGAAACAAAAACAGAGGGAAAAACAATAGACGGAAAATACCAAAGAGTAGTACTTATCAACGAGCATCAGACGACTTGTTCCAAAAGCTTAGGTCTTATGATGATTTGACTTCTGCAACAATTGTTCTAAACAAGAAACCTACTTTTTTTACAGCCTAGCGTTCCTCACGTCACGCGCCATATCATGAGAATAATTTAGAAACCAGACGATCATCAGAAAAGCTATCCACATACGTTTCTTCTTCGGATTTGTTTTCACAGAATTTTGCATCTGCGAGTAAAAACATCATCCTTTAAAGACTTGAAAAACAAACCACAGAAACTCCTAGTCCTACTTTATTTTTTTTACCTGTTTAATCCCATTGACATTGTTGCTTTCATTTGGTGGTGAAGTTTTCTTGAGCAAATCATTAGACTCAACACCAACATTCTCCTTTTTCTTGCTCACAAGTTTAGATGCGTCTTCAGGGTTCTCTAATGCAACTAATGTTCCAATGACATCCAGAACATCCAACTCTGCAACAATCATGAGTTCTCCGTTCACAAGAAATCCACCATCTTTGTCATGAAGGTTGGTAAGGGGAAGCATTGCTGGAAAACCCCAAATGGTTGACTTGCCATCAAAACAGTGCTCTGTTTCTGTAACAATTCGACCAACTAGTGTTAGTAAATATCTCAAAACTGATCCGTAGAAACTCCCAAAACCAACACATCACACCCTTGACCAACATATAATTCCAATCCAAACAAGTTCAAGAGTGCAAGATTCATAAAACATGAAACTTTCTATATTTATATCTATTGCTGGAAGAGTCGAAGGATTATATGAGTTTGTTATTGTCAAAATGTTTGATATGAGCAAGTGCTACTGACACAAAGCAGGATTATTCAACTATATGTAATCAAATAGTGAGCAGAGATTGGTAAAAGTCATCAACTTTCACTATGGAGAGATGTTGTGACAGTTGATTTACAATACTAAAGCGTAGTTTTACAAGCGTTCTCCATCCACAAGGCAATGATTCAGCTTCATTGACTTCCAGATAGAGAGACAAGTAATCACTGTTATTTCCTTTGGGAAAGGTAAGGAGACGCCTGCAAGAAAACCCAAAGAACAGTATTATAAACCGTTAGACTATATATGTCACTTTATAATCTAAGTAGACGAAAAGGTCCATTTTTTGCTTTACCATTTGCAGTCGCTGATCAAGACTTTGTACAGCACACAGCATAAATGCACAACGTATACCTCTCAGTAAAAAAATTAATGAAATACTTTTGTCTATACTTTTGTCTACAGAAAGTATCTTGCAATCACAACTTAACGATGGTTACTCTGTGTATGTTACTGACTTAGCTAATCATAAATCAATCAACTAGTTATAGAAGACTGAAGTGAAAATCACATTTCAGTACTGAGTGTTCTTCTGAAACCTGTTTTACTACAGATAGCCGAAGCTTTACGTATCTTCTCCATCCAGAAGGCAGTGATGCAACATCAGCAATTTCCAGAAACAGAGACAAGTGATCACAGTTGTCTCCCTTTGGATAGGCGAGAATACGCCTGAAGAAAACAAGAAGAAACGAGTCAACAAAACCCATATCTCCGATATATCAGATAGACAAAAGCATTTTAAAAAGTAAAATTACTTTATACCATTTGCAGTCATCAATCTGGAATGGAACAGAATAAAACTTGTCACATTGCAAAGAGGAGAAGTTCTTTATCACCCAAGCGAACTTCTTACCAACTTTCTTTGTCATTGATGCAATATAAGATTCTTCCTGATATAACTAGAAGACCTGGAGAAGAAAAACTAAGTTTTCTCTGAACAAAGTGATTGGAGGCAAAAAAAAAAAAAAAAAAAAAAAAAAACTAAGAAAGCTATGCATACCTTACAGAGTCGGTGAGGGAGTTCTGTTTTTTTTTTTTGAGGGGATTTTTATCAGCAGTTGATAGATACTATATGATGAAAAATGCATGAGTCTCGATTGATGTGCGCGAATGAAAACGGTCTTCGTCCTTCGTGACTTGATACTCTTCAATAATTACGAATTAACACATTGCGGCTCAGGTGAGTATTAAAGGAGTCTACGTAAGCGCAGGGGCATAAAAGTACATCCTTGAATTTCTTGCTGCATTTATATCATGCGGGAATATGAACAGCCTTGACTCCTCGTGACTTAATAATCAGCCAAAACTACGAATTAAATTATAGAAAATATCAATATATGTTAAAGCAGCAATGTTAGGGTGTCTTTCAAATATACGCTTCACAATTGAACCTACAAGTGAAAGGATATCTAAACCATATCATACAAGTTTGTGGCCTCTATGTAACTAATTTCATGTAACTCCAGAAACTAACCAATCTTACAGAGATTATCTTCAAAACATAAAACGAAACAGTCTTCCCAACAAAACACACCATCTTATGTAGAACACATGGTCGTACCTAATGTATTCAGGTTTGAGATTTTCTTGAAAATAAAGAATACAGAGTTGAGATCTAATCTTAACTTCTTACCTGTGAAGGAAGAACATGAAACCCATTGACCTCTATTTTTCTCAGGGGAATGGAATCATCAAAAACATCTGATGTGCCGAGAACCTCAGCAACAATCATTAGCTCTCTGTAAACTAGTATACGAATCGCGACAATGTGCTTCCAAATCTAGTCTGGCAAGGGTTTTAGGGAAGAGATAGTGGAAGATGATGATGTCTCTACAAAATTACTGGTTAGCTAAAACCGATATAAACCAAACCATATAGTATTAATCAAATTCAAACAATTTTAGGCCGAATTATCAAAATTAATTCAGGTTTTAGTTCTTGATCATCAGTTAATTTTTCCCTCGAATTTGTAGTAGTAAATCGACAAATCTATGAAATATTCAAAAGCCAACTTCCCTCAACTAGCACGGAAGATATAAAGGAACACAAGAGCAAGTGATTTAGTTTTGTCGTTAAGACACCTGACATTTTTGGTAGACCATGGAGGCAATATACAAACTAAACCACAAATTCTTTTGAACCCAGAACAACAAATGCTTAACAACTCAAGTCATAAGTTCAATAATTAAAGGCCAAAGTTAAAAAAAAATTAAAGAAGATATCAAGAACACCAAATGCCTAAACAACTGTGGTCAGCAAACAAGATCATCGAAAGACAGAGCACTTCTGGTGGCCGACAACTCTGTCTTCTCCTTCTCGGCAAGAGCATCCAGGTCTGACCACTTCTGCTTCAATATCATAAGATTTTCCTCTATTTCGTGGAGCCGGGCCAAACCAGACTGCTCTTCCTCCTTCTTTTCCTTTACTTGGTCCAGCTTCTTCTCCAACCAATCCACCTTAAACCCTGCATCTCTCAAGTATGTCAGCGCAATGTCTGCTTCCACAAGATCTTCATTGGAAAGCTCCTCGAGTGACTGGCACATTGTCTCGATTAAGCTGAGCAGAAAATTCATACACGCGTTCCTCAGATGTTGGTTCTTTACACGAAACTCCACAGCAATGTCTGGGTGATTTTCGAATATACGTCTCACAGATTCCACCTGCGAGTCAAAAGATATGAAAAAACAGAGCATTCTTTGGGGATTACGAAACATACTCTGTACCTTATATTACAGATAACAACACGCCTTCTTACCTTGGAAGAAACAACCTCAAAACCATTGATATCCATTGTTTCCTTTACTGGTTGAATCTCCATAAGCACATTATCACAAGTCTCAGATGCCACGGTGTTAATCCCCTTACCACTATTTTCCATTGTCTGAGAGACATCCTGCAAGGACTTCACTTGGTTTACATTCAAAACGAGAGATGAAGACTCATCATCAACATCTTCTTTAGATGCATCGTCATTTTCACCTTTGGAAACCTGATCAGACTCGGCCACAGCCACCACAGTGTTATAACTTATACCATTATTTTCTTCCTTAAGAGAAAGATCCTCTAAGGCATTCAATTGGTTCAAAGGAGTAATGCCACTACCTCCATCATCAGCATCATCATCATCATCCGAACTCTCTTCATAATCGTCTTCATCATCATCCAAACTCTCTTCAGATGCATCATCATCATCATCATCATCATCATCATCATAATCATAATCTGAACTCTCTTGGGATGCATCATCATCATTATCCGTACCATCTTCAGAGGCGTCATCATTATCTAACTTATCTTGAGATGTAGCATTATCTTGCGCCACTTGATGACTAGGAGAGTCCCCCTGAGATTTACTGAGAGAAGCTTCTTTGCTATTCACAGATGCAGTAACCTCCGCAGGTACAACAATATCTGGTAGAACATCTACTTCAGCGACGATAGTGAGCCTGTCATTCACTAAAAATCCTCCCAAAGGATTACTGAGTTGGTCAAGGGGCAAGAAGTCTTCAAAGCTGGAGATGTATTCGTCATTCAAAAAACATCTCTCTCCTGTCATTATTTCCAAAGAAACAAAAACATTTTGGTTACATCGAATGATATAATATTTAACGGATAAGATTCAGAGATTGCTACTACTACATGTATATATAGAGAGAGATTCGTATATTACCTAAGACTTTGTTATATCGAGGGGAAACATTGACAAGAGTAATGCGATGCTTGACTATCGTTCCCCGTTCTGGTAGGGGAGATCCAGGCGTAAAATAAAGATACACGGCTAAGTCAACATAAGAACGATCATAATAAACTCCTCTGCGATAAGCATTAAGACGCCTGTTCCAAAGCATCTGATTAAGAATGGCATCAAAAACATTCCACAATAATAAATATGGTTTCTTGCTTTACCAACTGAAGCTGCCGACCGTGAAGGGGAGAGAGTAGCGGTTGGACTCCCAGTCTTTCAAAGATGAGAAATTTCCCAAAACCCAAGTGAATTTCTCTTGCATCTTCAGGCCTAGCAATATAATCTTAAGTTACTGCCAGAGCAAGAAAAGTGAAAACCCCTAATTCCCAAGTTCGTGAACAATAACGTGCTTCCAAATCCAGTGTCCTAGGGTTTGCTGTTTAAGGACAGAAAAATTATATAGATGTGAGTATGTGACGTTACTAGGATTAACCAAACCATATTTTAATGGGCCTGTATTTAATTTTACTCGGTTTAACTTCTTCCTTTTGTTTCTCAATCGAACCAAAACTAAATTGACAAACTAAACCGAGCTGCGATCCAATCAAAAACAAGATCGTCATGGTAATCGAACCAAAGTCAATGCTGACTGGACCAAAAATCTTTTTTAGCTTTTAGCTTCAAAGCTAGAGATACACCATCATACAATGGATATTCAAAAAGGAGCTTCCCTCCAATGTGAAAATAAACAGTTGTCCACGTTAGAAGCAAGATACGTGTGCAGGACATGTTACGTTATGTGTCAATCCAAAATCCATCATATACATCTGTTAATACTCTCCATCTTCCACCTACTCAAGATTCATACGTATAGAATCATTAATAATTCATACGAACATGCATATCAGATTGTAGTTGGCTAAAGCCGAATAAGTAACAAAAAAAAACATACTTACAGAAATTAAAAAAAATGGAGACTTACGTTGATGCGATTGGTGTGGACGAGACTGCAGCCATGACGACGGAGACAGCGGCTGAAAAGCACAAGAAAAAATTGAAAGTGATGGTTGCGATTGATGAAAGCAAGAACAGCTTCGATGCGTTGCAATGGGCAGTGGAACATCTCAGAGATGTTATTAGCGCCGAACCCGAAACCAATCAAGAAGGCGGCTTACTTACGTTGGTTCATGTTCACCCTACCTACCTTCAATATATTTACCCTTCTGGTGGCACTGGTGAATAAAAAACGCTTCTCTTTTTTGTTTTTCTCTTTTGAGTTTATTTTCTATCCCTATGATATATCGGAAATGGCTATATACAATATTGAGAGAGTTTGAAAACTTTTAGCTTCGGCGGTGTATGCCACAGATTCAGTGCCCGAACAAGTGAGAAAAGCACGAGAAGAGAGTACGACTAACTTATTCACACGGGCATTGGAGATATGCCGAGGCAAAATGGTGCGTGATGTGTATATATGTGTGAACAACGTTTTCGAATTGTCTTTTGTCTCCCTTTTGAGTTTTTGGTGCATGTTGTAGGTGAAGACAGAGACTATGATATTGGAAGGAGATCCTAAGGAGATGATATGCCAAGCGGTCGAGCAAACCCACATTGATCTTCTTGTGGTTGGTAGCCGTGGACTCGGCATGATCAAAAGGTTACAAAGTTCATTTTGGTCTTAAGCAAATAAAAAATGAAATTTCAAGTGCGACTATCCACCAATTTGTGGTGTCTGGGGATATGCAGGGCGTTTTTAGGGAGTGTAAGTGACTACTGTGCCCAGCATGCGAGATGTCCAATTCTCATAGTGCGACCGCCTAGAGAAACCTCAACTAGTAGCACGAAGGAACACAAGAGCAAGTGAGGAAGGGAACCTTGTTATGATCAGTTCTTTTTCATTCCGTTTGTACTTCGTAGAGAAAAAAGTGAGCCAATAAAGAATAAAAAGTGTACGTCGAAGAGTTTTCTGAATTTAGCTAGAGATTGTGCACCAAAACTAAAATAATTAAACCTTTCGTTTCTATAGGTTCTAAACCAGAAAACTGGTTTAGTCATCTGGTTAAAGCTATACAGTTTCTAAATGCAAGTAAAAGATGGATTGAGAAACAAACGTTACAATACACGCCAGAGTTGTATTTTGCGAGTTGTGTTGTCAAGCCTGCAAGTTAGATCACAATGACTTCTTTGTTAGTCGTGACCAAACTAGAAAGGTACTAAAATTAGAATCCTCGTTAGGACAAGTTTATACCTGTTGGCTCATTAGGATCTCCACTGCTACGGTGAGATCATCGTCGGCAGCAGCAAGCGCCACTTCCACTTGTGTCTGCACAAACCCAGAGACTTTTATGACATCTTTTCACTATTTTGTTTCTGTCAAGGTTGGTATGAATCAAGAAACATACCCTATCAAAGCCCATGGCGACGAGTTTCTGGATTTGTTCTTCTGGAGCAGCAACACGACCCTGTATCTTGACAACTCAATAAGAAAAAAATCTTCTAGAAGCCTTACACGGGTTTGGGACTTTGGGTCTTAGGCGAATATCTAAGAGAAGTAACTTACCTGGGATTGGGGCAGGACTGCTGCATTAGCTATTGGCACCTGTCTGCACACGATCAAATATGAGGGTGAGGTTGAAAGAAGGTGCATATAAAGCTGATAATGTAGACATTAAATACCTTGGCTCCGCCATGGTGGTGATAGTTGCATCAGAAAGGCGGTCTGGGGTGCTGCTATCTTCCAGCAGTCTAGCGTGAAGGTTTGGATCTGTTTCTCCAGCTGGGGCGGTTGGATCACGGGCAGTGCTAAGAGTTCTACCTCTTCCCGGAAATCTACTGTCCTCCGAAGACTGCATGTAAAGTAGTATGATGGTCAGATGTGAACTCATCCACTAAGACAAGGAAAAGAAAGTGACAAGATTAGCATGGACGTACCTGACTAGATGCTTCCCTCTGGGGCAACCATGAAGACAAGGATCTCCAAGCATTTCCAGTAGAGAAGCCACTGTTCAAGGAAATATGTCATTCCAATGTTCTCTATGAAAATAATTCAGTCTTTCATATGTTCTTAGGAAAACAGACCTGGATGTTGTATTTTGTGCAGAGTAAGTGGGAATGTAACTGGAAGGATTCCCACCAGTACACATGATGAACTTGGGCCGCCTTACAAAGCTAGACTGGAAAAGGACAATGAATATGGATGAGCTATGACTTATGCAGAGAAACTATGTCTATTGCACCACTCAGAACCTCATATCAAAATAACAGCAAAACAAGAAAGTGGTTGGCTAATGGCTATCAACGTTGTAGTGAGTGAGTAGCTGAACATAAGGGAGTACAAATTTTGGATCTTGGTGGCTACTGAAGTACTTACCATCCAGGAAGCTGACTCAATGGTGGTAAAAAAAGAAGAGCTAGGCATCAAGAAATTGAAGAGGCCATAAGAATCTGAAATCCAAAGCGACTAGCAAATTAGCTTCCCATGTAAATGCAGGCTTAGAAAGAAGATGGGAATGAAACAGGTCAAAAATCATACATGAAAATCCAGACAGGATACCGCATAGGTGCCCAAGCAGTGAAACATTTGTCATGAGAAGCTGGAATACTATTAATAAGATCCACGGATACCTACACATGGATACAAATTTTTACATCATATGAATAACAAGAAATGCAGGAGGACATTAAGATGCCAACAAGCAAGACAATGAGCTTACAATTTAGCTGGTACGTTGAAGACACCAAACACACTGCACAGAGAAAGAAAGTAGCAAATGAAGATTATATGAAATGCTTAGTGAATACAAAGGATTGGAAAAACAGCCCACACTCGGAAGACATTACACGCATATCTTACATTCACATGTGCAGAAGGTGTTTTCACATGCATGTGCAGCTTAAAATGTTTGAGAATGTTTCTGAGCTATAACGACAACCTCATATTTACTTACACATTAAACTTCCAGAGATAACTAAATTATTTAAGTAACCATTAAAAATTCTTACCTCCTAGAGGTAACTCCACTGAGACTTGTCTCTATGACAATCATAGAAAACAAGATTCCAGAAAATCCAATCGCGCATTCATTCAGGAGATGATCATATTGATAGAAGGGATTATATCCAGCCAAGGATGCTATAAGAAGATGCAATATGGCATTGGTCGTTGCCAGCAAAAATGTCAGGTAGAGCAAACGGACGGATCCCATGATTCTCTCCAGCTCAGAGCCCATAGGAACCAATGCCATCATGTTGAAGAGGACATGAAGCAGTGATCCATGGAAAATAATGGCTGTATAGAACCTATAAACTGCACAACAGATGACAGGAATAGGATGAACAAGAGAAAAAAAGAATCAGGAGATTTCAGGCATCTCATTCAAATGCAATGAATTTACCAGTTTACAAGACGATAGGAATATCAAACATGGACAATTATTATTTTTCAAGAACAAAAGTTAGCAAAGCTACATGAAAATGAAATGCAACCCTCAATAATATGAGAAGATTACCTTGGAAGCGCGAGATAATCGCTGAGGGTAAGAAGCACACTTCATAGAAAGTGTCATATCCAGTTAAGAGGCATATCACGTAAATGACCCCACAAACTGCCACCACCGATGACGTGAGGAACGGTATGGCATTCCACCACTGTCCAACTCTAGTCTGAACCCCAGCCTACGAGGAAATGAGAAATCCATAACTAATCAAAAACCTTTACTAGTTTAGTTTATAACTAGACATTGTGCCAGACATAAAAATACCTGATTATCTAGTCCAAGAACACTAACATAAATACATTCAACCTTTTGACTTAATTCAGAATCCGTTCAAAAGGAGGGATTTACAATAGTATGATCCAGAATCACAGTTCTATAATAGAATGGTGAAGGTTTATAATTCGACGAACTAATGAGACAACAGAAGAAGCAGAGGCTGGTATAAGACTCGGCCATTAAAGTGAAGCTATGCCGAATCGAACAGCTAATTAGTTAACTCTACCGAATTAACACACACTCGTACTGATTTTGCTATCAGCCATAGCTCGTTCTCACTAGGAGTTTCTCGGTAATCAAATTAAGTGAAAACCTCAGCAATTTCTGGTTAAGATCAGGGAGAAAGAGCAAGCAGAAGGGAAAATCGAACAGATCTCACCTCGGTAACAATGTTTGGCCTCATTATCGAAGTCGCGAATTAGTCTTCTTCTCTGATGATGCTTGCGTGTTTTTGAATTTCAATGACCATGGAAGAAGAAGAACTACTCTCGTCGTTTCTCTCCCACCGTAAGACTTCTCGAGATCTTAACTTCTTCTCCCGGTTTAGCACTTTGATTCTGGTAAAGTTTGGCAAACCGGGTCGAACCAGCTTCTTCTTTCTTTATTTTTCTTTTTTTTTTTTTTTTGCTGAGAGAAAGTATAAAAATTTGATGCATTTGTTGTGGTTTTGGAATGTTACGGATTGAATTTGTTTGTGATGAGCTAATTCCGTATTTCATGTTGATTCATGAAGCAATATATCAATTGATAACGTAAAGCATATAAATACTCAAAAACTCTTCAATCGATCAACAGACTTGAAATCTGCGGTTGCAAAAAATACAGAACAGAGAACCATTTAACACGTTGAGATCACCAAGAGAACATTGACGAAAAAAGATCAGAGAGCTGAGAAATAGGATGAGTGGGAAGCACCACACATGAGCGTTACCCGCCGCAAACCATCCTCCCTGCTAGGGGGTTAAGGACTTGAAATGTAGGAAACCTGAGATTGGTTAAGAATTTAACAGTAAGCGAACAGCAAAAGGGGAAGAAGACATGAACAAGTGTAGATAGATGCTTAGATGAAAACATGTACTACTCACAACTAGCTGTCCTCTTCCAAGCCTCCTAATCTGGTACCTGGATCATAGCTTATAAACAGTCGAAACTCGTTTCCGAGTTTGCTAGAGTGAAGAGGCTTAAAGACACAAGGACGAACACCCAATAGTTCAGCTGCATGTTCTCTTTGCACCTCTCCTGCAAGAGGTAAAATCTCACCCAGTTGATAAACCATAAGATCCAATGAAATCGACTTGAAGAAAACATAAGTCATCGTAGTACCTGTGAGAAGAAGCAACAATGAATCTACCGGGCTTGCGAGGAACGAAATTGTCTGACTAACTCTTTCCAGGCACTCCCTACTCTGCCAAACATAAACAAATCAAGATCATTAAAACGCTAACTAGAAGTTACTTAAAGACATTTTATGTTTTGAAGAACAGCGAGCAATATAGGCACACAAAAACATCACAGATTAATGTGGTCCTAGCAAGCCACAAATACTCTTATCTGGGAAATATTTTGGATGATAACCAAACCGCAGCATAGATACACAACGTATTTATCTTAAAGAAGTGGGAAGAATTAAGCCATGACCATAAACTAACTGATAAAACTCCAGTTGTAGGAGTTTGGCAAAAGCTTACACTTCTACTTTCACCTTGTTCTTACTGATTTTGAACTATATTCAATCGAACTCCACGATTGAGAGGCCAATAAACCGTAACTCTATCTATATGCATCCTACATATCAATCTCTAATCCAATCTTATCGAGTGGCAGGCTAAAAATACTCGAACATTACCATTACATGATTGCATGAACAAAGAAAGTAAACAACTTTTAACAAAATTTACCAAGTAGGGAGGATCTGCAACGATTATATGGAAGCAATGTTTCAGCTGAAGCGGCAGATCTTCAGGTTCGTTGTAATCATAAAACGTGAACTCACTTCCATATCTCTCGAACCTCATATCGTACTCCAGCAGTTGCACATGGAGACTCGGATCCCTTTTCTGACTCATCACAAAATAAAAACCCGGGAATTTAGCATCAACAGCAACCAAAAGTACCGATTTTTAGCAAAACGGATTCGATACAAATTAAGGGTACTTAACAAAACTAATCAATAGTAGTTGAACCTTGAGATAAACGTAGAGAGTAGGGCAAGCAATGCAAGCGACTCTGCAGCCTGAGAATCTTTGAGAGAGAGTGACCACTTCCTCAGCTACAGTCTCCGCGGTTTCAGGTTCGTACCAGAACTGGCTGAGTCTCCAATCCTCTGTAACCAGCTCCACTTTCTCGGATTCATCACCTCCGGCTTCGGGCGTGCTCTCGGTAGGCTTGTTTTGGTCGGCTAGAAATTCCTGGAGAGCCGCCAATGCTTGAGAGCTCAACACTAGCGGATCGTCGTCTTCTACATCTCCGTCTCGTGGAACTGAAACTTTGCCGTGTAGCCTCTGGAGCTCATCTTCTTTTTCCATTGAGCTTCGGCGTCGGAGTACCGGAGTAAAGTAGAATTTAACGGACACGGCCAATTGAATGTTTAGGGCTTTTCGATTCGGCTTGCGTTTATAGAGAAATTTCATAAAAGGTCACCAACTTTTGAACGTTTTCTTATTGAGACATGTACCTTTTTTATTGAGACTAAAAAGGATCACTATATAAATACTGTATATACATTACGTTAAAAACTATATTTTATTTGAAACAAAACTTGTAATAAGCATTCAAATTAGACTTGTAATTTTTTTTATCAAAATAAGTTAAATAAAGCTAAAAATTGTATTTTTATTTAACTTGTAAAAAACATTCAAATTAATTTGTGTTTTTATCAAGATAAATTAAATAAAGCTTGTGATCTTTTATATATATATATATATATATATATATATATATATATATGTTATTTAAAATAAAAAAATTGTATTTGTGGAAAAGAGAAACTTTTAAAGTTGATGATTATCTCTTATGGATTTTAGACTCGGGTGAAACTACTAATTTTGAATTTTATAGGGACCAAGTTTTAAAAACTAAATTCTTGTTTATATTTCCATAACATCGACGCCAAAATTAGGAAAAAAACTGAGGAGGAGCCAACAAAAAAGTTACAGTGAGATCGTGAAAGCTCTCTCTTTCTCTATGTTTAGGAAGTTAGAAAGAAAAAAAAAAAAAACAGAGGATTCTAATTTATCCACCGCCAATGGAACACATTGGCATTGATAGAATGAGATTTGATAAGAATCTCATAGATGAGAAATGGCCGCCATTATCGTTCTCTCTCACGTTCCCATCATCTAATCCTAGACACCAAAGTCCCCTCCCTATTCAAAACCTCCTCGTTTCCTTTTTGGCTCTGTTCTTTTCTTCCATTAAAAGAATCTCTTCTGTCTCATGGGTTTTGTCTGACTTCCAGGTCTGTTTCTTCTTTTACCCTTTTGTTTTTTCTTTCTCCTGAAATACAACAATTTAGGAAATCTCCTACATGTTTTCTTTTTGGTCTGGTGTGGTTTGACAGATGATCGTATTGTATATCTGACATTTTCAGGACTTTCATCGTAAGGAACTGCTTGAACCTGGTTTCAACTGAAAATGGGTTAGTATTTTTTGACAAGATTCTATGATTATTTGATTTGGTGTATATATATTGAAACTTTGAGATATATTTTTTTTGTGTTTGGTTCTGCAGAAATGAAGACCATTCTTCGATCAATCAGTTTTAATGACAAGGACTCGGATTCAACCATCTCTGAATCACCTGAAACTAAGAAGACCCTGTACAGCAGATCCCTTAGCGGTAAAGGGACACAACGTTCAAGAATCTCTCCAGCTGATGTGGAGATTAATTTCTCTGTTAAGCCTTTAACTTTTATGAAAGAAGATGACAGATATAAAATGCGGAGATGGAAGCCTGTTTCCGAAAACGATCATGCCAAAGAATTCTTAGCCTTGTTATTAGGTGACGGAAGATATCAAGCTGCCTTGAAGTTGCAGAAGGTTTATAGAAGCTTCCGAACTCGAAGACGGCTTGCTGATTGTGCTGTAGTCGTTGAGCAAAGATGGTTCGTGCTTAGTGCTATAATTGTTGGCATTGTATATTCTAGGTGTTATCTGTTCTAGTGTGACTCAATAGATCATTTTCAGGTGGAAGGTACTTGACTTTGCTGAGCTTAAAAGGAGTTCTATATCGTTTTTCGAAATTGAGAAGCAAGAGACTGCAGTTTCACGCTGGTCTAGAGCGAGAACAAGAGCTGCTAAGGTAACATTAAACCCACCATCAAACATGTTGGCTTGATTAATGCACCCATTTTCTTCTTGTGCACTTATCTTTATTTACTGATTTGACCATTTTTACCCCTTAGGTGGGTAAAGGCTTGTCAAAAGACGAGAAAGCTAGGAAATTGGCTTTGCAGCACTGGCTTGAGGCAGTAAGAATATTCTTGTACAATATATATATGTCTTTCTTTGTTGCTATAAATTTTGTGTAAAGCCATGTGATCTTACTTTTCTAGCTTATTAACAGATTGATCCTCGACATCGGTATGGACACAATCTGCAATTCTATTATCATGCTTGGCTCCACTGTGACAGTAAACAACCATTTTTCTATTGGTAAGCTTCCTATTACAAAATAAAAAGTATGACAATATCAAGAGTACGTACATAGGATTTACGAGCTAACGTTCAACTTTGGACATATCAATTTTAGGCTTGACATAGGAGAAGGGAAAGAATTGAACCACGAAAGATGTCCAAGATCAAAACTCTACCAACAAAGCATCAAGTATCTTGGTCCGGTGAGTTCTACCCTCTAGTTTATGTGCTTGGTAGACCAATATTCTTGACATTGCTTGTTAGATACCATTTTGTAATGCTTTATTCATTCTTATAAACAGACCGAAAGGGAGGCATACGAAGTTGTAATTGAGAATGGGTTACTAATGTATAGACAAAGTGGGATAGTCCTCGACACAAAAGAAGGTCCACCTGATGCAAAGTGGATCTTTGTCCTAAGTGTATCTAGAATATTGTACGTTGCAATGAAGAAAAAGGGTAACTTTCAACACTCGAGTTTTCTAGCCGGCGGGGCTACATTATCTGCTGGAAGAATTGTGGTTGACGACGGTGTTCTTAAGGTGAAATCATTTTTTTTTAACTTGAGCTGTTCCTCGTTTACACTTGTACTGCAGAAGCTGAGAAGCAAGGGATTGTTAAAACTTTGTGTGTTAAGTTTGAGTTCTTTGGATGATCTTTTCAGGCAGTTTGGCCTCACAGTGGACATTATCTCCCAACAGAAGAGAATTTTCAGGCGTTCATGTCGTTCCTTCGAGAGAACAATGTAGACCTCACCAATGTAAAGGTAAGTCCATTCTGGTCATAGTTTTGGCTCTGGTTTGTGTTCTATGATTTACGGAGTTATAATTTTGTTTTTCATGTTCTACAGAAGAGTCCGGATGAAGAAGATGGAGAAGCTCATGCTAAGGTCAAGAGGATGCCTTCGAGAATTAAAGAGACGACAGAAGAAGAACATTGTGACTTTGTGGATGCTGAGACCGGCGAAAGTCCGAACTCTAAGCCCTGCAATCATTCAGAGCTAGAAATATTAACAAGGTTCAGTTCAAAATTGTCAAGACCGGCCGAGATTCTTAACAAAGACGAGGAAAACATGATTGAGGATGATGAGGATGATGAAGAAGAACCTGAAACCCCTTCAGAACAAGGATATGAGACAGCAGAAGAGACATTCATAGCTGAGGAAGAGTTCACATTCCCAAAATCAAATCTGTTCGATGAAGACATTGAAGAATACGAGAAACCTGTCCTCAAGGAGAAGATAATGAAACGGATAGATTCACACAAAGGAATCAAATCATACCAGTTAGCTGAGCGGCTACATTCAAGATGGAGTACTGGTGCAGGCCCTAGAATCAGTTGCATGAGAGATTACCCTTCAGAGCTTCAATTTAGGGTTCTTGAGCAAGCTCATTTATCGCCAAGAGCTTCACGCTTTCCTAACCCATCTCCTTTTGCCCGGCCGGTTAGATCACGAGGAACAAGTCTTGGGAGAAGTCCTTTGGCTGATGAACTTGAAAAGCTTTAGGTCGATATGTGACGCAACTGCTCATGTGATGAACTGATCGGCTTGAATATTTCTTTTTTTTGGGTTTTGTTACGCAAGATACAAAACTAGGGATTAATTGAAGAATGGTCTTCTTACTTACTATGTGTCTTCCTTGTTCTTCAAGTCAACTATTCATTATTCTTTTGTTCAAGTATATGTCTGCAACTCTACATACATAATTTGATAAACAGAAATTTAATTGTTATTTTTCTTTTTTTTTTTGTATTGATTTTACTGGTACAGTATAATGATTCTTTCGTGTGATTATTTTTGTAATCCACTGTATTCTTAATCTTCACAAAGAATACTAATCCAAATGTCAATCAAACAAATTTGGTTTAAATTAACCAAAACTAGTCAAAACTTTAGTCCGGTTTATAATGTTTAACCGGAAAGTGAATCAATGTTTTTTCTCCAACAAACCGAGCGATATTGCTACCCCAAAAAGGGGTAAAACAAACACCGCCATATAGGGGTAAAACAGGAATTTTATAAGAAGTAATTCCTAAATTGCAAAAGCAAAAGTCCTAGAAATACTTGGCACAGTTCCTCGTCTGGGGATTTTGGGATTTTAATCCTTGTCTTACGTTCTCGCTCGGTACATATCCGAATTTCGTTGGTTCAGGTTTCGAAATCTATTAGTCTTTGTTTGTTTGATGTTGATTGAGATTAGTTTTTGCACTCAATAGCTTATTTGATTTTTTCCTGAAGAAAAGTATTCTGCTTCGGATCTAATGTTATTTACTGGATTATGATTTTTCTGGGTTTGATTTCTAAGTTTTTCGTAATTCTATGATTATCAAAATCTCTGCTTGATTGGAATTTTTTTTTGAAATTTTTGCTTTACTCTGTTTTCACTGAAACTCTAAATGAACTATGGGGTTACTGCTCCTTTAATTTGTGGATTACGTCTATCTTCGTTAATTATGAGTATTTCAGATATTGATTTGGTTATAGACTTGTAGCTTTCTTCCTCTGAATTTGTATTAACATGTTAGCATGTGGAACCAACTTATAAGATAATCGAACCATATTGGTTTGGTAGATGTTGTCATGTGACAACTACTTAACCTCTTAGGTATAGATGATTGTAAAAAATTAGTTCTTTTGTTTATTTATTGGTTCGATCAAGTCCTGTCCTGTTTAGAAGTCATTGGATTGGCAAAATGTGTTTTTCAGAGTTACTTCATCTTTTCAGCTAGTTTCTTTTTCCATTTTTTTTCTTTGTGGAATGCAGGACTGCAGGTTATCATTACTTCCATTGCAAACGTTTACCTCTTCTACTAAGAAAGATGTCTAAGTTCTTTGGTCCTCAGGTTTTCCCTTGAACCCTTTGTATCTTTAGTATGGTGTATTGGTTTTACTTACTTCAATTTTCTCATTGTATCTTGTTCACCAGAGTGGAAGTGACAGTGAATATGAGAGTGATGTTGATGATCGGTTGGAGGAGGTTCAAGATACCAATGCTGCTGGTGCCTCGCGTTACCTTGCAGGTGGCAATGAGAGTGATGACGAAGATCTCCATAAACGTGTTGTTCAGCCAACCAAAGACAAGCGTTTTGAAGAGATGGTCAGTACTGCAGAGCTGATGAAGAATGGCATGAGGATCAATGACTGGGTTAGTCTACAAGAGAACTTTGATAAAATTAACAAGCAGTTGGAGAAAGTTATGAGGATTACAGAGGCTGTGAAGGCTCCAATCTTGTACATCAAAACCCTTGTGATGTTGGAGGATTTCCTAAACGAGACTCTGGCAAACAAAGAAGCCAAGAAAAAGATGAGCAGTAGCAACTCCAAGGCCTTGAATTCAATGAGGCAGAGATTGAAGAAGAACAACAAGCTCTATGAAGACGAAATTAACAAATATAGGGAGTCGCCAGAAATCGAGGAAGTGAAGGAATCAGAGGATGAAGATGCGGAAGATGAAGACGAGGAGGATGAATTTGAGGATGACATTGATGATGACTCTGATTCTGGCGAGAAGGAAGACAACGATAAAGATGATCCCTCTTGGGAGAAGATGCTGAGCAAGAAAGATAAGCTTATGGAGAAGTTGTATAATAAAGATCCTAAAGAGATCACATGGGACTGGGTTAACCAAAAGTTCAAAGAAGTTGTGGCTTCCCGTGGCAGGAAGGGAACTGCACGATTTGAACTTGTTGATCAGCTTACACACCTGACAAGGATTGCCAAAACTCCAGCACAGAAACTTGAAATCTTGTTTAGTGTTATATCTGCACAATTTGATGTGAATCCTGGTCTCAGCGGACACATGCCTATCAATGTCTGGAAGAAGTGTGTGGGTAACATACTTACGATACTCGACGTTCTTGTCAAATATGATAACATCATTGTCGATGACACAATTGAGCCTGATGAGAATGAAACTTCAAAACCAGAAGATTTTGATGGAAAAATTCGGGTCTGGGGTAACCTTGTTGCATTTTTGGAGAGGATAGACACTGAATTTTTCAAGAGTTTGCAGTGCATAGACCCTCACACACGTGAGTATGTGGAAAGATTGAGAGATGAGCCGATGTTCTTAGCTCTTGCTCAAAACATCCAGGACTACTTTGAGCGGTCTGGTGACAATAAAGCTGCGGCAAAGGTGGCCTTAAGACAAGTTGAGTTAATTTACTACAAACCGCAGGAAGTCTATGATGCCATGAGGAAACTGGCTGAGCTGGTGGTGGAAGAAGAAGAAGAATATAGCGATATCCCCAAAGAGGAAGCTGGAGCTCATGCTTCATTCATTGTAGTTCCAGAGGTAGTTCCTCGTAAGCCAACCTTCCCAGAGAGTAGTCGAGCTATGATGGATGTTCTCGTCTCCCTTATTTACAAATATGGAGATGAACGGACCAAAGCTCGTGCGATGTTATGTGATATCTATCACCATGCTTTAGTGGACGAGTTTGTTTCTGCTAGGGATTTGTTGCTGATGAGTCATCTGCAAGACAATATTCAGCACATGGACATCTCAACCCAAATTCTCTTTAACAGGTCCATGGCACAGCTTGGTCTCTGCGCGTTCCGGGTTGGAATGATTACCGAAGCTCACAGCTGCCTCTCTGAACTCTACTCTGGTCAAAGGGTGCGAGAGCTGCTTGCTCAAGGTGTATCCCAAAGCCGATACCATGAGAAAACTCCTGAGCAAGTACATATTTTTGTTATTATTGCATAGCATCTTCTTTTGCATCTTAGGTTCATAAAACTATTTCCAATCTTGTTTAATTGGGTTTGTGATGTTCCTGGTGTATTCATTCATCAGTATATTTATATCGAGAATGGAGCTAACGGTTTGCAACCTTTTGGTCCGACCAGGAAAGATTGGAAAGGAGACGACAGATGCCATATCACATGCACATAAACCTTGAGCTTCTCGAAGCTGTTCATCTCATATGTGCCATGCTACTAGAGGTCCCCAACATGGCAGCCAGTTCTCATGATGTGAAACGCAAGGTGATAAGCAGGAATTTCCGTCGCCTGCTCGAGATCAGCGAGAGGCAAGCATTCACTGCTCCTCCTGAGAACGTTCGTGACCATGCCATGGCAGCAACCCGAGCTCTCACTAAAGGAGATTTTCAAAAGGCTTTTGAAGTTGTGAACTCTCTTGATGTCTGGAGACTGTTCAAGAATAGGGAAACCATTCTTGATATGGTGAAGGATAGAATCAAAGAAGAGGCTTTGAGGACTTACCTCTTCACGTACTCGGCCTCTTATGAGTCCCTAAGTCTAGATCAGCTTGCGAAGATGTTTGATCTCTCTGAGAACCTAGTCCACGGCATCGTGAGCAAGATGATGATCAATGAAGAACTTCATGCAAGCTGGGACCAGCCTACACGTTGCATCGTCTTCCATGATGTCCAACACAACAGATTGCAAACCTTGGCTTTCCAGTTGACTGAGAAGCTTGCTGTTCTTGCAGAGAGCAACGAGCGAGCAATGGAGGCTAAAACCGGTGGTGGTGGTCTGGATCTAAGTTCAAGGAGAAGAGACAACAATCAAGACTATGGAGGAGGAAAGTGGCAAGACAACATGGCTTACACACAAGGAAGACAAAGTTACAGCAGTGGTGGTAGATCTGGTTATGGTGGTAGCAGATCATCTGGGCATGGTGCGCAGAACCGAGGGACTGGTGGATATGGAGGAAGAGGTGGAATAGGGAACAGAGGAATGCAGATGGATGGCACAAGCCGTATGGTAAGTCTTAACCGAGGCGCTCGTGCGTAAACCTGACTTGGCTTTACATTTTAAGACATAAACCCAAATTAAAAAGGATATCTCTCGTTAGACTTATTTGTTGTTCTTACTGCTCGAAGAGCCTTCTTGACTTTTAGTTGACTCTGTTGTTCTATTTTACAAAAATATTAATTTTGAAAACAAACGTTTTATAATTAGTTATTAACTTATTATCGTCTACACTAATCGTTTGTTTAGTTTGTGTCTTCTACGTTTCATTTCTTAATAGCATTTTTTTCGTTTCGGTATTTTTTTAACTTTAAGAATATTAAAAGAAAACAAAAAAGGGATACGAAACATTTGGCAGCACAAAATCAAATAAATGGCAAATCACAATCAAAAAGTTAAAAAAACTTATAAAATAAATAATGCGTTGACTAAAGTCAGGGAAACCAAACCACACGTAGACGTCACTTTCTTAAAGTGGTGGATCAAAACTGGTGGCTATGAAATTTTTTATAAACAACTCTTAAGGTTCTCAAAATCTCTATATACTGCTATAATTAAAATAAAAAACGTCTATAATTTATTCTTCGCTCTCTTTCTCTCTCTCTCGCTTTGCCAGCGAACGTCCATTGGAGCTCCTCACTGCTCGCCTTAGGAGGGAGGGAGAGAGAGAGATTATCCTTAATTTTTAGCAAACAAAGATAAATTTGATAATTGGTCCTCTAATCCTCTCTTCTGAGGTTTTTGAAACCCAGAAAAATTTACTCACTGCCTCTAAATTTTCTACTCTCTCCTCTTTCTTCTTGACCTCTTGGGAAAGAGGGAGGGAAGAAGAAGATTCTCAATGGAAAGCTCAGGATCAGGCTCGGGGTCATGGCAAGGATTGATCCTTGTGGGTATTGTCACATGGATCTGTGTTTCTTCCTATCTCAATTTTACCTACAAACTTAGATCTCTCTTACAACCATGGGTCGCTCGTCATGTCCTTGGTGGCGTTCCTCTCATTCTCAGTATCCAGGTGTGCCTATTCAATGAGCCAATTAAAAGTTTACAAATCCCAACTAATGTATGTAGTAGAAACGAATTGAAGCTGATTTTATTTTTTTGCAGAAATGTCAGAATGGAGTGTTGGATGCTTTCTTCTCAGCGCTATCGTGTGTTGTCTCTGTGCCCTTTTACACTGCTTTCTTGCCTTTGCTTTTCTGGGTAATAACTTCTTGTTCAACATCAAAAGTTTGTAGTCTAAGTTGTGGCTTTTTAAATGTGGATATGATTGTAACCAATGAGTGTGATTGCAGAGTGGACATGGTAGATTGGCTAGGCAGATGACTCTATTAATAGCGTTTTGTGATTACTTTGGGAACTGCATCAAGGTATTATTTATTAACTAACTATTGGGTGTTCTATTACACATTCTCTTAGTTCAAGACAATCAACTGTTAGTTTTATACGGCCTTCTGTATCTAGGATGTGATATCAGCTCCTAGGCCAAGCTGCCCACCGGTTAGAAGGATTACTGCCACCAAAGATGAGCAAGACAATGCAATGGAATATGGCTTGCCTTCTTCACATACTCTTAACACTGTTTGTTTATCCGGGTATCTTGTCTCTGAACTCTGACACTTTTTGTTGTAGAATCCCATTGTTATTATTATTACCTAGCAGAGAATGTTTGTTCTTCGTACTACAATGCAATGAAGACAACAAATTTGTCTAAATGCTATAACCCGGTATGGAAACCATAGTAATATTGATGGATCAACTGATGCTTACTGATACTATCAGTCTGATAGTACAAATGTGAAGCATTTAGTGTAATCTGCTTTCCATCAGGGGGCTCTTTGGTAATACAAATGTTATTGTGGGTATTGGAGTTCTTAACACTCGTCTCCTCGTTCGTTGGTGTTTCAGATATCTACTTTACTATGTGTCATCATCTGTTGGATTCGAAAATGTGTCTATCCAATACTATGGATTTGCCCTTGCTTGTCTGTTGGTAGCCCTAATAGCCTTTGGTAAGATTCTACTAGAGAAAACATACATTTCTTAACAAGTTTTTGATTCCTCAATTAACCTCATTTTTTTCTTCTTAGGAAGGATTTACTTGGGTATGCACAGCGTGGTCGATATCGTTGGTGGTCTTGCCATAGGAGTCCTAATTCTAGGTCTATGGCTATCCGTCACTGACCAAATAGATGATTTTATTACCTCAAAACAGAACAGTAAGCATCATTGCTCTTAGTTTTTCTACAAACGAAACACTGAATAACAAAGAAGCTATAACTATGGATTGTGCAGTTAGCTCCTTCTGGACTGCTCTGAGTTTTTTATTGCTCTTTGCTTATCCAACTCCTGAGCACCCAACTCCAAGCTACGAGTATCATACCGCCTTTAACGGGGTTACACTAGGAATCGTAAGCCATCAAGAAATGTTATATCGTGTAAATGGTTAATGCAGACAATGACCTTAAAATGGCGGTTTTACTTGTGATAGGTGACTGGAGTCCAACAAACGTACAGCCAATTTCACCATGAGGCAGCCCCACGAGTCTTCTCACCAGAGCTCCTACTATCAGCCTACATTGGGAGAGTTATGGTAGGAATACCAACAATACTCTTAGTGAAATTCTGCAGTAAATCCCTTGCAAAATGGATCTTACCAACAGTTTCCAGTGCACTTGGGATTCCAATAAGATCTAGCACATACATTCCTAAGCTCAAGCTCAACAGTGGGCATGCAAATGGGAAGAAGACAGACGAAACCAAGTTCTCCGTTGGGTATTTGCACAGGATATGCGAGTTCTTGTGTCAGGATTCATTTGACATAGACACTGGAATTAGGTTCTTCCAATATGCAGGCCTTGCCTGGTCCGTCGTTGACCTTGTTCCTTCCATATTTTCTTATATTAACTTGTAGTTACAACTCCAGTGTGGTTATATAAAATCAGTGCTTCGACATACCATTGTTCATCGCTCGTAATCACTTGACCATACAAAAAATCTCCAATGTGGATTTAATTAGGTTAGATTTCAATGAAAAGGGTGCCAAAACGAAAATATGGAACAAAGGGGATAACGTGAAATAAATCGGAATAATATCTCACAATAAACATATTCTGATGCAGAAGGGAGCTAAATAAGTTCAGCCAAACACATGTTCATAAGAGGTTTTAAAGTTCATTGACCTCTTTGCCTATATTACACTATTCCAAGGGAAATGGCTAAATTGATTTTAAGCAACCTGGAACACAAATGCGTTGAACCAAATGGAATAAGCAGAGATCTTCAAAAACCAACAACTGGACTTTGCCGCTGCAGGAGGAGCTGAGTGTCTTCATAGGAAGTAGTCGGGTGTCCTTCGAGTCACATCTGGCTCTCCTCTCCTCGGTGCTGGTTCGAACTGTTGCAAAAATTAGACTCATGTTAGTTTTCATTCCCCAGAAATGCAGTCAAAACAAAGATTTCAGAACGTAGTTTGGGAAAAAGACCTGAATGAACGTGTGGTTCCTGCAGTCATCGACCTCAAGAATCGAGGCCATGTTTCCACAGCGATAGCAATAGTTTGGTGCACTGAATATAGTAACCACCTTTTGCTCCTGTCAACAGGAATACATTTTTACATAGTGAGCTAAGAATCTTAGATTTGGCAAATCTATGCAAGGAAGATGAGTTTGATTGTATTACATGTGCCCAGTTGAATCCATCCATAACCAGCTGATGCGCTCGGGCGATCAGCTTTAAGTTGTTAGTGTGATTGAATTGTTCGGAAATGTCCTATGGAAACAAAATTGAAAAAAAAGAAGTCAATTACACACTTATTTGGAAACCCAAAAAAAGAGAGATTCAGGACAGCTTCTGAAACTGAGGCTTCATAAATCAATACCTGACCAAATGTATATCCAGCACCACGAGGAGAGATTCCCCAGCCACATCTGTCATCAGGATCAGACCATAACAAGTCACACATAGGTCCTTCATGCGGAACTTCTTGAACTCGATCGAAGTTCCTAATGTTGTCAAGTGTCTCAATAGATGGTGACAATCCACCATGAAGACAGAATATTTCCGACTCCACCTGAACACAAGGACATACAACATGACCAGAACAGCCTCCATATTTTTCGAAATGAAAAACTCTTAAGAAACCATCAGTTTGATCCGACAAGTTATATTGAAATACAAGTAACAATTGCAATTTATATTTTCATTCACAGCTTCCAAAATATAAACCATCTCAAATAAAAGTGAAACATGCCAACCAAGGGCGCTAACACACGCAAGAATGCATTAAAAAATTCAATCTTCTCAATGAATTGGATATTAAGAGCGCTAAACCAGACAATGGGTCATCTATATTGTAGGAGTAAGATTTCAGATTGAACTTCATAAAAGTGGAAAAAACGATGCAGTGTATATACTAAGTACTAACCAAGGCTGTCAGTGGGAAATAGTCAAAGAGGTCTGTAAATATTTTCCAAACATTTGCATTGCCATACCTGCAAGTAGAAACAAGATTTAAGCAAAATGCAAACGAAATAACCAAGAATATATTTCCTACAGGCATAGAAGGAGACATGTCTTATCAAGTTCACTGTTTGAGTAGCAGTAATTAATAACTAAGGTATGAAAAATACCATGAGAACAGTCAACTGAGTAAAGCAGTATTAATCAGGAAGACATGCAGAGATTTAGTTAAAGATATATCAGGACATGAATAAAGCAAGTTAGCAGGTTATACAACATAAGGGTGTTTGCCAGGGGACTCACTTTCGCAGGCATTCATCATAAAATCCATAAACCTGAGTAATCTGCCAGAACGAACAAACAGTGTATTAAACCATGAGTCAGATAAAAACTTGGGAGGACAAAAATTTGCAAGCAAACAAACTATAAGAAAACCATAGTTGACTTGCAAAATGTTTTTACAACATTTTAATTGTAAGAGGGTCTCATCAAAGATTTCAATAACAGATAGCAGACAGACTATGTCAATAGACTCACTGCCGTACACCTCAGAAGGTGAACATACAAGTAGAGAGACAAATGGACAAAAAAGTTAATACCTGACGACTTTCATGGTTTCCTCTCAGAATAGTGATTCGCTGCGGATACCGTACTTTTAAGCCAACTAACAGCTGCAAATGGGATTGAAAGAAATAGTATGAGAAAGGTAAATCTAACGAACGTACATAAACATTAAGATTTGAAAACTCCAGTATGGACAGTATATTCGATTTAACAGCAGTATGTATAATAAGACAGGAGATGTCATCCTACTTGGAAATCAGAATATTACTATTGAACAAAAAAGAAGTATGCAGAAGGTATAAACTTAATACCGTAACAGTTTCGACAGAATAATATCCACGGTCAACATAGTCTCCCATAAACAGATAGTTGGTATCAGGGCACTGCAAAAAGAGCCAAAATGAACATTTATCAGGTTTTCCGAAAGCTGGTGGCAGATGAATAACAAAAATTAGAACCAGAAACGAAACTTCAGCACTACTTTCAAATATGACCCCTGAGAAAAGGCTCCAATATATTCTGATTATTCAGTGAGCATCCACACAGACTTTGTATTCCCCAGCCAGAACTAATAATTGCTAGAAAGATGGACGCTGAATAAAAATCAAAACTTTCATCTATTCGTTCATTGTGCATCAGTAAGTGTTATAGATGTTACCTTTCCCCCTATACGGAAAAGCTCTGCAAGATCATGGAACTGTCCATGAATATCACCACAAATTGTCACAGGGCTTTTAACAGGCTGCATATAGGAAAAAAATATAAATAATAAGTCTACTTAAACAAAACGAATGAATGGGTCCTTAAATAATAGAGGCTAGTTACACAACCTATCAGATTGTAATTATAAATGCCAAGAGATACAAGAACAAGAACTGACCTGAACATTGCTTTCATCCATCAAGATCTCCTTAGCTTTCTCACATAATGCTCTAACCTAAATCAAATAGAACAATACTACACATGAAAAATTCATCTTTTCTCACTTTACATCCTAAAGAGAGATACAGGACTAAAAGTAATATCCATTATCAATTTGGCACAAGCAGTAAACAGAAAGAATAATCTTCACAGCCAAGAAGATATGTTACAGCTATTGATCAGTTTTCCCCCGATATTAGTTCCAGATGGTCTTTAATCAAGCTGAATCCTCACTCTCTCTCTCTCTCTCTCTCACACACACACACAAGCTAAAACTATTCATCATTTTAAATATTTTTCCCCGATTGAAAATCCAGTAATGCATCTAACTGATGAGAACTTTTTCACCTATCCAAAATGATAATTTTGGCTGAGGGTCATATCAAATGCGAGTTAATTGGCCTATTCAGAACCCAAAATTCACGTTGAAACAATAAATCTGCGATCGAATTGTTTTTCAACCCATACAACTAACATGAAAATGAACAACTCCATCAAAATGAAACATCAAATCGGCAAATTAGATACCCACAAAAAAAAATCCCACCCTTTCATTCGATACAAAATCTGAGATCCAATCATCGAAACAGTCTAAGCTCACCCGAGAATACAAAAAAAAAAAAAAAAAACTTAATTTGCAGATCCAACTTAAGAGGAGAAAAAGGAAAAGGTGCGAGGAAAGCTATAATCGAAAGAGTCTAGTACCTGTTGCTCGGAAAGAGGTTTGCACTGCATGAGCTGCGAGATCTGCTCATCTAGATCGAGGGTTGCATCCGTCGGAAGCGAATTGGCGCCCATCTTTTTGGATCCGGAAAACAGATCAGAAACCAGGAACAGGCTTCCAGATTAGGGGCAGCCCTAACCCTAAATTGGATGGATTCTGCGTATTCTTCGCGTTTTCCTCTTCTCTCTCTCTCTCGTGAAGAAGCGCAGAAGAAGAGTGAGAGGAAATCGAAATGAGAGAGGCGCGTGAGGGAATGGGGCGAGTGGGTTTGTACCTTTCGAGCCGTTTCTTTAATTTACGATAATACCCTCTCTTTTGAGATCTAAATGACAAGATGACAAAAAAAAAACCCCCCTCTACTTTCTAAAGTCTTCAAATAGTACCTAAAATATTTGTAATAACGTTTTATTCCTCAATTAAACCAAAAACTACGACTATTTAAAATCAACCTTTGAAAATAAAAGAGTGGTCAATTTATTTTTTAAACATTAAAAACTTCTTTGTTATCAATCTATTTCATACATTAAAATGCAGATACATCATCAACTTTAACAAAAGATGGTAGCTATGAAGAAATACATCAACAAATTATATTATTTATTTTTTTAGCCACATAACCATTTAAAGCAAACTAATTTATTTTTCATAATTTTTTGACTAAAATTGGTAGATGTTGAGTTGTTAATTTTTTTTTTCATCAACATAATGCATTAAAAATATAGGAATTGGTATCATCTGCAATTCGATTTGTTTATCCTATATGTTATAACCACTTAAACTTTTACTTTTTTTTTTTTTTTTTTGGTAAACCAAACTTTTACTTTTTAAAATTATAGTTTTAGACTTACTTAGGCAACGAAAAAAATTCCAGCAATCGAAAGATGTTGAAAGTTGAAACATTGTAAATTTAGGCTCTTCCAACATCCAATTTTAGAAAAAAAATCATGGGTTCAAGTGGTTGGAAGCTCAAATATAATTATGTTGAAAAATTAAAAATAAGTACATGCTACTAATTCTATTCTTATTAATAGAGTTACAATAAATTAAAATAAAATAATTTGGAACCTATTTAAAAGAAAAAAAATTATAGGACTAAAGGCATTCTTTGTTTTTTGGGCCTAAATCTTTTATTATAGGTTTTATAATTAGATTTTTAGATCTTGATGAGCCAAATATAAAAGAAGCTGATGTTTCTAATCTAATAGTTTTGGTCTCATATCGAAGATTAATAAAAGAAGAGTATAGTTATTATTATTAACATCTCTCACTATTTTCTCGCGTTGTGTCCGATCCAAAAGGAAACATCGAATTTAGGGTTTTTCTCTCCTTGCCCGAGCTTTTCCGTTGGGTGAACGAACGACTACCGTTGATTTCTTCGTTTTGATTCGATTCGATTCTCTCTACCGATTTTTGAGGTTCCTTCTTTTCTCTGTATCCTCTCCTTCTTTTTTTTGTTGTTGTTGTTTTTGGTTATCTCTCTCGATTTCGAGTTTGTAGCTAGCTAGGGTTCCTTCATTGCTCCATGCATTTGGTTTGAGGTGATATAAAACCCTTTCGATTTTGTAATTTGCGTTGCTTGGGTTCTCTTCTCTTATCAGATGGCTTGATTTTGTTTCTCTTCTCTAAATTCGTCTTTTTGAGTTGTTTGGTAGATTTGATTTGGGATTCTGGGGTTTCCAAGCTTATGGAGTTCCGATAAATCCCAGTTTTTTTGGTTCTTACATTACGCAGTTGTTTGTTGTTGATTTCTATGATTGCGTTTGTGCTAACTATAGACTTGTTTTGTATATTTGCCAGGTTCTTTATTTTCGCGGATAAGAAGGATACAAGTCACCGTAGCAGCTTGATATTTCTTTCGTTTATTGGATAAGATTTCTGCTGGGAAGCTGCAACTTTTTTCTAGTTTTAGGACGTCACAAATTTCAATTATGAGTGCATCATGGGCTGATGTGGCTGATTCAGAGAAGGCCGGTTCTAGGCCTAAACCTGCTTATGTTCCCCCTCATCTACGGAACAGGCCATCAGAGCCTGTTGCTGCTCCCTTGCCACAAAATGATCGTCCTGGGTATGGTGCTCAACCAGCTGGGTCTCGATGGGCTCCTCCTACCAGTGGGGGTGGTGCTGGTGGCGGCGGCGGCTACAGGAATGATGGAGGGCGCCCCGGATATGGTGGTTATGGTGGAGGAGGAGGTGGTGGCTGGAACAACAGGAGTGGAGGATGGGACCGTAGAGAACGTGAAGTAAACCCATTTGGAGATGATGTTGAGCTAGAACCAGTCTTTACTGAGCAGGAGAATACTGGCATTAATTTTGATGCCTATGAAGATATTCCAGTTGAGACCAGTGGGGGAGACGTACCTCCTCCTGTTAACACATTTGCAGACATCGATCTTGGGGATGCATTAAATCTGAACATTCGGAGGTGCAAATACGTGAAGCCAACACCCGTACAGCGTCATGCTATACCAATACTGCTTGCAGAGAGGGATTTGATGGCATGTGCCCAGACAGGGTCTGGGAAGACAGCTGCTTTTTGCTTTCCAATAATTAGTGGAATCATGAAAGACCAGCATGTACAGAGACCCCGTGGTTCACGGACGGTTTACCCTCTTGCAGTCATCCTCTCACCAACAAGGGAGTTGGCATGCCAGGTAACACTGAGAATCAACTTTTTCCCTCATAGAGTAGAGTTTCTTTTTGGGAAATTTTCCATATATATAATATACACACGTTTTTATTCTGTGATTTTTTGACAGATACATGATGAAGCCAAAAAATTCTCCTATCAAACTGGTGTGAAGGTTGTTGTTGCGTATGGAGGAACACCTATTAACCAACAGGTAATTATCATACAGTTATTTTATTCTATTTGGCTATTGTTATATGATTATAGAAGCTTATGCTTACTGATATTGGGTTCTGCTAGCTCTTTCCTTCGTAATAATGCCAGTCTCCTTTGTGAAAATATTTTTATTTTGAAGTCAGCAGTGCATAATACCGACAAAGAAACAAATCATGTATCTTTCACACCTTTTTCCCAATGATAGTTAACTCTGCCATATTGCGTGTATCATCTTTACATTCAGAAGAGTTGGAATTTGCAGGTGTTAGTCAAATAATTTTAAAAGCATTGATTTGATGTTCTCATTTTTCATTGTTTATACAGCTCAGGGAACTTGAGAGGGGAGTTGATATCCTTGTAGCAACTCCTGGCCGGTTAAATGATTTGCTAGAGAGAGCTAGAGTCTCCATGCAGATGATTAAATTTTTAGCTCTTGATGAGGCAGACAGGATGCTGGACATGGGTTTTGAACCACAAATCAGAAAGATTGTTGAACAGATGGACATGCCTCCACGTGGAGTGAGACAGACAATGTTGTTCAGTGCTACATTTCCAAGGGAGATCCAGGTTGGTTTTACTTGTCCACGAAACACCCTTTCCTTGCTCTTAAATTCTATTTTATTGAACTAGCATGGTAGTTATGTGTCAAGAGGATAAAAGGGGTCTTTCTTTTGTATTTGTAACTTTGTTCCTAACCAGATCATGATGGGAAAACCTTTGATGATTTAGTTTTAGAGTGGCAAAATGCTCAAATGCCTTATGAGTGTTATATTTCGTATGTGAGAACTGCTGCATAAAATTCAGCACGCTCAGGAATGATCAATTCTTAACGTTCGTTTATTAATACTTTATTTGTTCTTGTACAGAGACTTGCAGCTGATTTCATGTCAAACTATATATTTTTGGCTGTGGGAAGGGTGGGTTCAAGCACTGATTTAATTGCCCAAAGGGTTGAGTTTGTCCAGGAGTCTGACAAGAGAAGCCATCTCATGGACCTGCTTCACGCGCAGAGAGAGACTCAAGACAAGGTAATGCGATAGTTACCATCTGTTGTTTACTTATCCAAGATTTATTATCATGTCACATGATCATAATTCGTCACGCTCTGACCAATGCTGGCTTTCTTCTCTTTTTATTAACAGCAATCATTGACATTGGTTTTTGTGGAGACAAAGAGGGGGGCTGACACTTTGGAAAATTGGCTGTGCATGAATGAGTTTCCAGCAACCTCCATTCACGGGGATAGAACACAACAGGTTCGTTGATTTATTGAAGTTGAATTTGTTGATGTAATTGTGAACATCAAACCATACTATATGCTTCACTCCCACTAAAACTAAAACCAAACTATTGTTACAAAAAAACCTGTGGATTATATTTGCTGAAATGAACTCTTTCAAGTTCTTCATCAATAAATGTGTTCTTTGTTGACTATAGCTGACTAAATTTTGTGTTGTTATGCGTTCAAAGGAAAGAGAAGTGGCGCTGAGGTCCTTCAAAAGTGGGAGGACACCCATTTTGGTTGCAACAGACGTGGCAGCACGTGGTCTTGATATTCCCCACGTGGCTCATGTTGTAAACTTTGATCTACCAAATGACATTGATGACTATGTCCACCGTATCGGACGAACAGGACGTGCAGGCAAATCTGGAGTAGCAACTGCTTTCTTTAACGAGAACAATGCATCACTGGCTAGGCCGCTTGCTGAGCTGATGCAAGAAGCCAATCAAGAGGTGCCTGAGTGGCTCACACGATACGCTTCTCGTGCTTCATTTGGTGGTGGTAAGAAACGGTCTGGTGGTCGGTTTGGTGGCCGTGACTTCAGAAGGGAAGGTTCTTACAGTAGAGGAGGAGGAGGAGGAGGAGGAGGCGGCGGCAATGATTACTATGGTGGAGGAGGCTATGGTGGCGGTGGATACGGTGGTGCTCCAAGTGGTGGGTATGGTGCTGGAGTGACCAGTGCTTGGGATTAGCCGACTAGGCTCCCCCATTTTTTTTCTCTTTTTAACCTGACTATTTATTTCTTATCTTCGACATTCCCAAGAGAGCACATGTATTTTCCCCCACCTTTGAGATCTCTCATTCAAGAGATGGATTTAACTAATCTTGCTATTAGGTGAATCTCTCTGTTTTTTTTTCAGGCTATTTTTAGGGTTTGTCCTAAAAGATAGACGGTAGTTTTTTTTCCGATTTTGATCTTGTTAACGGTTTCTTCTAACAAATTCACTTGTTAGTTTGAAATCCAAATTGCCTTTTTGTTTCCCTTTGTTGTTGTTGACAATCTTTCTTGGTGAAATACAATCTCTCTTTATATCCTTTTAATGATTTTATGCGTACATAGTTCAAACTCCATTCCAGTACTTAAGAGACAAAATGCAGTTGAATTGGTGCTGTGTGTAAATAAATTCAACAACTATTGCTATTCATCTTCGGAATCTTCTTCAAGCTCACTTCCTTCCACAATCTCTTCTTCTTCAGAGCCTTCTTCCGTAAGGTCATCCTCTGGTTTATCAAGCAAGAGTTCCTCTTGAGAGACCATGCCTATCCCTCTAGCGCGGTAAAGAAACCCTGTTCTCATCACATGATAGAACTTATCTCGAAGACGAGTGAGAGGATGCGGGTTCACTAGCTTTCCTCGACGATATCCTTCTTTGAGAATCACAGTTGTTGTCTTACACTTCAATGAGAGGTAGAAAATCCCGGGATATCGAGTGAATAGACGAGTGAACTTATGCGGAATATTGAGCTCCGCTCTCATGCTTCTCAAGTAGTTCCTCTTGGTTTTCTTGTGGATAGTCAAGCTGAGTAGCTCGTGCAAAACTCCCACAGCTCGTTTCTCCATGAGATCGCTTTCTGGGTCTATGTTACTTGAGTCATCGTAAGGAGAAATGTAAGGAAGTTTTTGAAACTCATCCATCCATGCTTTGACCTTCTTCTGTGCTCCATATCCTCTAGGAAAACTCATAGGGAACGTCAACGTGGACTGACCTCTTTTAAAGTCGCGGTAACTAGAGTCATCCCCGGTAACAACATTGCTCTCGTTCCGCTTCTGCAGCGCGGAGAATGCGAATTCATCATGCCATTTTACAAGCTTGAGACACGGGTTTCCATTAGAGGCCTTGACGAAGCAGAAATGATCAGGGTATTTCATGACTAGCGTCTTTTCGTAGTTATCTGGTAACCCGAGATCAAACTTGAGAGAATGTAGTGATCTGAGAGAGACGGTTTTTGTTCTCATCATCATCAAAACTCGACAGAGTCTCTCCACTGTATCAGCCTCGTGGCTTTGATGAATAATCTCTTCCTGTGAGTCAAGCATTAGTGCTGTGTCCGTTAGCTTGAAACATGGTAAGCTCGCGTAACGCGCATGCGGAAACTCGTGAAACAGAGTCGGATACCTGCATATAATGTCTGACTTTCAATAGCAGTCTTACGAGTTTCTATATTACCAGCAACGATTATGAAATTTCTAGGATTTGATACCTGCGCAAGAAGCGGAGAACAGGGACGGTGAGACCGAGGAGTTTTTGCCAATCGGCGACAGATTTTGCGGTGAGGAAACCGGTAGGAGATCGCTTTATGGCATCTTTGAGAATGCAAGCTGCTTTAAGATCGGTCTCGGTATCAATGACGTGATCAAGGTTCTTGTTCTTCACCCACTTCAGTCTCACTTTCGCCATTCCACCCATTCCTCGCCATTGTTGATGCTGCTGAAACAGCTTACTAACTGAGGAGAGAAAGCTTTGGGATTTGGCGAACATCTATAGTGATCTGATGAAAATGCGAAAACTTGATGATCTGTAATTGAAACTGCTAAATGGGTTTTTTATCACTGAAAGAAATAGAGAGAAGTGAGAAAGAGTAGTGCAGACAATGTGCTCGACGAAATTCCTGAAGGCATCTAAAAGCGAGATTTTCGACTTCTAACTCTAGGCCCACAGGTAAGCCTTTTAAGTGTGGCTTTGCGAAATGTTTTTGTGCACAGAACCTAAAAAAAACTTCGAACCTTCGTCTGCGATACAATCAAATTTACGAAACTAGTTCTCCAACTCGTCGAGACTTCTCGACTCGCGTGACTCGGGAAGACTTGGCTCGTTTAAAGGTTCAGGCTTATCCTAGACTCTAGTACTGAGGCTGATTGGTAGAAATAAACGCAAAGCTTGTATTAGGAATCATGGAAGCGAAGAAAGTGACAGAAGAGGAAGAGGAGAGATGGAGGAGAGAGATAGTAACAAGCGTGATGAGATTAGTGAGCACGAGATTGCCTCAGACAGATCTAATCTCTCTACTTCTTGTTAGCCCTTGGCTCTATCGCACCCTCGTCTCCTATCCTTCTATTTGGCTGGTAACAAAACTTTGACTTGTTCTCAGGTCTTCCAAGTTTTCTGTATTATACTTATCTGATACAAAGTGTTGATTGTTGTCTCTTAGAACATTGATTTGCGCGAGATGACCAATGCAGGGGATCGGCTTTTAGCTGCGCTGTCCTTGGTTAGTTAAGCATAAAGTTTGATACTTTGATACTGGTCAGTGCTTGATTTGAGTGTTTGGAAAGTTTGAGCAGAAGTAACTCATCGTATTTTCAAATTGTGTAGCCAAGATATCGGCAAGTGAAGCATATCAATCTTGAATTTTCCCAGGGTATTGTGGACAGTCATCTTAATCTTGTGAAAGCCCGGGTAACTTTTTTGGCAGACTCTACCACTACGACTTTTATGTGAATTTATGAAAATTTGACTACATAGATCATTCTAGCCATTTGAACTTCTGAAATATTCTATTGGCTGCTGTATTACAGTGCCCAGATGCTCTCTTAAGTTTAAAATCCTTGAATCTTAATGGGTGCCAAAAGATTTCGGACAGTGGAATCGAAGATATAACTAGCATATGTCCAAAGTTAAAAGTTTTCTCTATCTACTGGAACGTGAGGTAGTATACTGTCTGACTCATTTGTGTCACTCTTCTTGATTTTATTACATCAGACGAGCCTAATTCTAGATATAATTCTCAGGGTGACCGATGCTGGCATTAAACATCTAGTGAAGAATTGCAGACATATCATTGATTTGAACCTAAGTGGCTGCAAGGTATCTTTATATATGTCGTTCGAGTTTTATTTCTGATGGATAGCTGTGATTATGGCAGTGTCTTACACATATGGACGCCCCTTTCTCTTCGATGTTCTCTGTTTGTATTAAGTGAATAATATGAATTGGATGTGCACTAATTGATGCAGAGCCTAACGGACAAAAGTATGGAGCTAGTAGCTGAGAGTTATCAAGAATTACAGTCACTGAATATCACCAGGTAAGTTGAAAAATGCTGAAGTCTTTACTTTTCAAATACTATTTTTCCTGGTGATAAAAAATCCATAACATTGTTGCATAATATCATTCTTTGTTTGTTGATTGTTTATAAAGATGGAAGCTTTATTTCTATACATTTTAATTAAAGACTTATGGTGTTTGGTTTTGGTTCTTCACGATGCCGCCAGGTGTGTTAAGATTGCAGATGATGGTTTACTTGAAGTGCTACAGAAATGTTCCTCTCTCCAGACCTTAAACCTCTATGCTCTTTCAGGGTATATAATCGGCACATTTATTTGTTTCTCGCTACATTGATAAGCCAGCTGTTTTGAGTTCTGGAACTGATATCGCAATTTCTTGCAGCTTGACTGACAAGGCCTACAAGAAAATATCACTTCTAGCTGATCTAAGGTTCTTAGATCTATGTGGTGCTCAGGTAGGAGTCGGTGTATCCCAATTACATGGTTGCACTATCCTTTTTCCCTTGTGGATGGTTGAGTTTATTTGAGATCTTGGATATCTTTCACTGTCTTGAAGATTATAACTTAGGGATTGATTGCTAGCAAACCATAGTACAGATTATATACGTTGAAAATGGTTTTCATATCTTTGATAGAAATCTGTAACTAAGAGTGCGGCTTTGGTTGCCAGAATCTATCTGACGAGGGGCTTGGTGACATAGCTAAATGCGACAAGCTAGAGTCTCTCAACTTGACATGGTAAGCTAAGTCGTCTCCCCCTTTCAAGAAAGATAACAAGCAAAGAGCTGCGTTTTCATTTAAAATGCTTCTTAAACATGGCAGGTGTGTGCGTATCACAGATGCAGGTGTGATTACAATGGCTAATAGTTGTACTTCCCTCGAATTTCTCAGGTATTTTATTCCAGTTCTAGAACTATTTGCTTTGTTGTTTTGACAATGAATCTTTGTTGCTAACACCATTCCGAAAAAATGCAGCTTGTTTGGAATAGTAGGAGTGACTGATAGATGTCTGGAGACTCTCTCGCAGAGATGCTCTAGTACACTGACCACTCTTGATGTCAATGGCTGCATCGGCATCAAGGTGTGTACTGTTGACTTTTTTCTACAGAAAATATTTAAGTTTCTATGTTGTGGCGATGCTCTAGACTAAACACTTTTCTCTTCACTGTTGTGAAAACACATGGTAATTTTGCAGAGACGAAGCCGTGAAGCGTTGCTTCAGATGTTCCCTCGTCTGACATGCTTCAAAGTACACAGCTAATTTGCTCTCATTATGTCACGATTCTCAACAGGTGTCGTAATTCTACCATTAGTTATAATGGCTTCCAGTCACATTACTCTTGTCTTAATCAGTCGCGGTATGTTTTATTAACAAGCCATGGTTAGGCATGTCAATAAGGGCTAAAGCCCGCGAGCTAGTTTGGCCCGGCCTTGAAAAACATCGGGTTCGGGCTTAAATATATATGTCCAGAAAAAACCGGGCTTTTTGGGCTAAGTCCATTCGGGCTAAAGGGTTTTTTGGGCTTAGCCCGGTCGGGCTCGGGCCGTCCCGAAAAGCCCTTATACAAATATATTTTGAATTTTTTGAATATTTTAGTTTGATTGAAAGATTTGATTAATGTTATAGTTTTCATATTTACTTACTAGTCTTACTTATTACTTTTAAAATCTTTATACAAAGCTAAAACTAAATATATATATATAAGTATCATGATTTTGAAATCATCAAAATATCTATTAAATTTTGACTCTATCTTATACTTTAAAGTATTTTAGTTCCATGTTTTATTAGGTTAAAGTGTAAATAATTTATTTGGCTTTTATTGTTTTCTCTTAAATTAAGTTAGTTTTATTGAATATTGATAAGTTATTTAAAATTTGATGCCTTATTTTTATAGTAGACCTTTAAATATAGTTTTTAAAAAACTATGATGAACTTAGAAATTGATTTTTTTTATCGGTAAATAAAGCCCAAAAAAATCCGAAAAGCCCTGTACCTCTGTTAGGGCCGGGCCGGGCTCACATATATGAGGGCTTTACGGATTTCGGACCGGGCTGGGCCGGGATAGTCCGATTGACATACCTAGCCATGGTACATTAAATACATTCACTTGTACAATTATAAGTTTGTCAAAAAAAAACAAAAAAAAATATAAGTTTCACTAAACCAAGTTTGACCCTTGACTTCTCTCTTCCTGTGACACTAGTTGAACTTGTAGAGACCCAATTATTCGTTTAAATATGGGCTTCCATTTTCCAAGCCCGGAACACATTATGGACAAAGCCCAATATAAATATTTTTTAATATACCGTAACTCCGTAAGTAAATCTGATAAAATAGGCAAAAATTGAAAATGAAACAGATAAGTACGAGCGATCATAAATCCTCAAAATAAGATTAACCCATATTACACGTGTCGAATTTATTTGATGGATTAGTACACACAATAATAAAAATACGCCTAATACACAGCGGATTAGTACTCGACGAGCAAAAAAAAGAAATATCTATAACGGAATCAGATATTTTTTTTTGTTAATGACCCACTTGGGTTGGGTTTGTGTACAGATATAAATACCCCTAAACCTCTCTTCCTTGGCGCTTCTTCGTTTCTCAGTTTTACTCTGCAACATCGTCTCTCTCAGTTTCACATCACATAGCTACCAAGTTTCGAAGCTTTTCTTTGTTCGTATCAGGAGAGGTACTGCTGTTTTCTTCTCTTTTATCTTTTCCATCGTCTTCGTCATTCTGATTTCCTTGTTTCGTAAATAGATTACAAATTCGTTTTCGATTGAATCTGATGTTTTAGCTTCATGAAGGAAAATAAGTTTTGTGATGAAAGTAGATCTGCGCAAACAGTCACCAAATTTTCTTGTTCTCGATTTTGGAATTTTTGATGAGGTTTTTTTAATTTTTGTTTTTGTTGGTAATTTTGTTTGCAATCTTTTGATCATTGGATCCAGATCCAGTCATGGCGGGTGCAGTAGCAAGATTCGTGAAAAAACTTGATGTTTGGGATCGATTGAAGTTGATATCATTACCAGTCATGGGTTGCGTATTACTACTACAGAAAAGGCAACTCGATCGTGTGAGAGAGCAGCGTAAGCTTTTGATTGATGACTACGTTGCTAAAGGAACCATCAGATTCATGGAGGAGACAAAGAGTGATTGATCGATCCGTCGCTGATTTGAAATGAATAATAATAATTGCTGATGATAGCCCCATGTCTGTGACTGTGAATTTGCTGCTGTTTTAGCTTTTCTTTCTTTTTTTTGCCAAAGGGTTTCTATGAACAGGAAAACTAAATAACTCTTTGTATATGACATATGCTTCAAAGAGTTCTAATCTCTCGTTATATATCTCTAGTCAGATGCTATGAGTTTTTCAATAAGTTTTATTAACAAGCCATGATAAATACATCTGCTTCAGATTAGATTATATGATTCGTATGGATGTGTTTATTTATTCGCTCAGAATACAGAGATGATTTTTACACTAAACACCATATTGAGAGAGCTCCAGCCATCACTATACCAAATTGCTTCTTACCACTTCCTTTGATGCTTGTACTTTTCGACACTGCTGCAATATTATTTTATTTGTTTTTCTTTTAGTTCCGAGAAGGCTAGCAGGAATCAAAACTGTAAAATTCGTGCTAGTACTAGTAGTACCTTTATGTCCAACATTCTGAGACGATTCAGTGAACTGCTTAAATATCTGAGAGGCTGGTGAATCTAGAGGCAAATGTAAAAGCTCTTCTTGCAAACAAAAATGAAGCAATGAGGTTGACACCATGCAAAAAAAACTGATGAATTATTCAACAAAACATTTTACAAGGTATCTGGTTATGAAATCTCTCACCTGGGCATTTTGAGATATTTGCAGGGACGTGACAAGCGGAAGGGAGGCTCATTGCACGATTGGCATCAACTTTGAACCCTAAACCAGGATCATCTCTGTCCTTGACAAGAGTACATAGACATTTCTTGGTCTGCCCTTTGTCTATGTTTACCTTGAGTGTGCTGCAACATGTTGAGTCTGGAGCTTTAGCTTTGTTTGTTACGAAAGGAAGACACGAGTAGAGATCAGACATGGCATCCTGACATCCCTTTAGGTCCTGCTTCAGGTCTGATCTCACACCAAGAAACATTACTGCTACTGTTATGCATAGAGCCAACATTTGAGGATTTTTATAAGCCATCAGTTTATTCAGCAGATTAAGAACTCAATATGGCTTTTTATAAGCCTATCTACAGACTTGTTTCTTGCTCGCATATGTTTCCCCTGTTGGATTGATTGATTACTCAAGAGTTCTATTTCTGCAAGAAACTTGATTTAAAAAGCTAATATAATGAGTACTAGTTGATATGTCTCGTGTCTTAATTGAAATTTGAGTTTGTGTCATTGGAGGCTTACATATAAATATAGTAAGTTGTTCACAGTTCGTTTTCACAGTCTCTGCAAGATATCCCACTAGTACAGAGAGTAGGACACTGATAGTTAACGCTCTAGGATTAAAGTTTTATGAGGCAACAACCATATAAGACACAGTTTATATGCTTTAAGCTGAATTGACTGTAAACTTCAGTCACCATTTCTTGAAGAATCTAATGTTTACAATGTTACAATGAGGCAAGCCAGTGAAGACAAAACCTACTGGCAAAGAGGAATAACTATAAAAAGAAAAACCAAACGAACCAAAAAAGATATCATACTTCTTACACTGAGATCAAAGTAAATAAAACTGAGATACAGAGTAGAACGCAAGCGAAAAACCCAGCAGGAGAAAATCCTGGGACATGGCATGCGTTCTTCTTCATGTAGCTTAACCATCTCCATTGGAACCAATCTTTGAGTGGCATTTATTACAGCTGCAGTATCTCTATGCAATATTGTTTCATCTGTGAGTTTGCAGCATCAACGTCTGGCCCTAGGCATGCAGCGGAATTCAGCCAAAAGTGCAATGTGATCAGAAGACCATTCGGGAGATGGAAGAGCTGTGTCCTTCCTCAAGCTCTCTTCATCCAACAGTTCCAATAATGATTCCACCGTTAGCGTATCCGCTGGAAAAAAAAATAAAAAAATACAGAGCAAAATGTTTACATGACAAATAAATCTGAATTTAAAGCAGGCATTGGCTGTGAAGCCAGAAAGTTATTGCTTAAGTTAACCTGTGTAAAATATGTAATCAAGTGTGCCTATAAAGTCTCTGGTACAGTTGGTAAACAGTGGTTCATTTGATGCAGGATCCATTTTTCTCCTTTGCTGCTCAGCAATATGGCTGCCTCCCATTCTTGCAAATGATGAGTAAGCACTAACCTGCATTGCTCACAAGATGAGACAATTATCCATAAGTTCCAATTTTAAAGTTTAAACGCATGTCTTTTGCATCACTTTCCCGTTTTTGGGAAAGATAATTACCAGTGGTAGCTGATGAGTTAGCTTGGTGTGAGGACGCAAAATTCCAAGAGGATCGACCATCAAATCTGGGTGTAATGGATCGATCTTTCCCATCGCAAGAAGTGAATGAGGAGCACTGAAAGATTTAGAAGGAACTCTTAAGTTAATTCGGTTAGAGACCATAATCATAATTTAATAGACTTTGACATTTTTGCAATTTGGGCATAGCAATTAATGAAAAACAGCCAGACCTTGCTGGTACTGTGTTGAAATCTCCACAAACAAGCATTGGAATATCTGCACTGGCAGCTATTTTCTCCAGTCCCTTCAATAATGTGTGAACCTAATTTGAGCAAGAATGATTATTAATTAGTAGTGGTGTTGGGACTGAAATCGGAGAGTTCTTTTACAATGAGAAATAAAGACCAACCTGCCAGAGCTTTACATCCTTCAGTTCATGAGAAACATTTACATGCGTGTTAGCCTGCACCCATCAAATATATAAATATCACCACGAGATCTTTAAGGCAGAAGAGAAGGTGGAAACACATAAAATTCAACTGTAGCATCATCTTTTACAACAAAATAGATGGAAAACTCACTACACAAAGTAGCTGGCGCTTCCCAGGATTTTCTGCAGCCTGGTTGCCAAATTTTGCTTCCAATACAACTATTAAGGCGACATTGTCCTAAAAAGAAAGAGTCTAAATTAGTTTTATATGAAAGACTAACACAAAGAACGTGTGGAAACAGGAATCGATTTGGCATCTCTGAGTACCTTAACCAAACGATTCAAAGCAGCTTTCTTCTGAGAAATAGGAATAAGGGCTTCAGTCAAAGACTGGGCAGCCTTATTGAACTCAACCTAAATGAGAAGCGTGATGATTTAGCAAAAGGACATACATAGATAGGTAATCAAGAGGAAAACTAAGATATACCTCGTATTTTTTAACATGAGAAAACCTGTCTCTTCTAAAAAAAGTAGCACATCCATCGATTGTGTTCGTATTACCAACGAAAACCTAAGATTATTGAGAATATGTTATGGTCAGTACATCTAGTCACATAAGTGACCAGCAAAAGGTTATGAGGGGTCTAGGTGATGCGTCCAAACAAACCTCATTTGTTTTCCTCTTGAAAAGAGCTTGATATCCATGCTTATCCAGCTCAGGAGCGAAAAACTCGTCGAAATGATCATTCTGTACCTGCAAAATGGAAAAAAAAATAAAAATTGGAGAGGTATTTATCCATAAACTAACTAGTTATTCATGAGTGCACATGATCATAATAAAACAGAAAGCAACTGCAACGTCTCCAAGTCTGTCAACCTGTGCCAAAAAAATATTTAACATACCTCTTGTAGACAAACTATATCTGCACGGTACTTCACAATTTCCCGTAATAAATTTTGTCTACGGTATGTCCAAGTGAGAGCCCATGTGGGGCAGTAACTGTATAAGTCGCTGCTAGCATATGTATCAGCCAATATATTGTAGGAGAGCACAGTGAATGATCCCATAGACAAAGGTCGCCCATTAGAATCCAGGTGTCCGATAACATCAGCTCCACTAACAGGGATCAGCCTTCGCGGAGAAGGTGATGGAGCTGGAATAACACGGGAGGTCAATATGGTACAAGAAAGGCCCACATTCTGTTTTGTCTCGGCATTGACCACTACACATTCAAACTTCAAAACATGGCCAATATCATCAGCCATTGGTGTGTATGTCTTAGAGCATCCAACCTCAACAAGTGTTTCTCCTCCAGCACCTGTCTTTTGAGTTATAGATGCGGGATAAACTGATGATGAACCATTCGTTAAACTACCACTGGTGCTGAGAATGCCAGATCCAGACCCTGAGCTATTCAAGCGAAGCAACTCTTCTTCATCATTTCCTTCTGTAGCAGCACTGGCAGCACGCTCGTGCAACACACGGTGGTGTTGCCACGCATCTGAAAAGCACTTGGTAGAACAGTGGTAGCTTTTGGAAAGAGGAACCTTAGACTTTAGACAGCCTAGACACTGCAATGTGGCCGGCTCAGATGGATGCACACTACAAATCGCAACTTTCTTATCACTCTGTACTCTATACCTGTGACAGATGATGCATCTTTAAATACAGAACCAAAGAGACAGACTGGAAACTAATAAACCCCATTTATATCATTTGCATACGAGCAAAGACTTGAACTTACTAAGAAACAGATACATAAATCACATCAGGGGATATCAAACAAAATTCTCAAACTTTCGTCGAAACAAGCTAACCCATGAGAAACTGGAGCAAAAACTAGTAAAAAGAAGCAGAGTAAAGAAAGCCAGAGGCTATAACTAACCATCTGTACTTCAAGAAGTGACCTTCAAGCGGAGCAGATTCCGGCACATCATCGGAGGTGGGTGTCTTATCCGGCCGCCGAAGAAGCACGTAAGGGGTAAGTTCGCAGCCAACAATAGGTATCTCCGACGGTAGATGCACCCGTATAACGCTAAGCATTGCTTTTTCCTAACTAACTGTAGTTCTCAAAGCAAATCAACACTAACGAAGCCCAAAGGTTGAGACTTTCAGAGAGATATATAAATAAATTGATTAAAAGAGAGCAGAAGCAGAGATAAAGCGGATCCCTAGCGGATCCGCCCTTTACTTGACCCTAAACCCCGCAAGCATGGATGAACCCTAATTCTTCCAGAACCCTAGATTATATCCCCCAAAATTTCTCAATAACAAGTTTCTCCAACCGCAATTTTTACGACCTAGAAAATATGAAATTGAATCCGAAAGTGGGATCGATAATTTTCGCTACGATTAAAATTTAATTTCCAAAGACAGACAAGGACCCAAAATACGCCGTATTTTTATTTTATTTTTATTAAAAAGGCTGCAATAATAACTACGAGTTTTTCATTTTATTTTTATTTTTATTTTTATACACAAATAGTATACTATTTACACTAATTACTGACAAGGATCTATTAACTTGTTTTTTAAAATTACATCATTTATTTGCCTTTTTCAGATTATCATTGTAATATATTATTCAATATTGGGTAGAGACTAGAGATAATTTAGTATACAATTTAGAAAATCATTAATATCTAAAATAGTGATAGCACAGACTCATACATAAGTTGGTATGTAAAAATACTTTTGCTGGCAATTAATTTTCGAAATTTGTCAGTAATTACTTTTGTCCAGACCACAATAAATATTCGTCTCTATCCAATCCTTGCTCTTCGTGTATATCACGCGCTAAGGTTAATTAATGCCGACACACAGTTTACTTCGCTATAGCTAAGTCGGCACGCGTTTCGTTATTGGAAAGCGGCAAGCAGTCTGAAAGAAATTAGAAAAAAAACGAGAAAGCCTTGTTGGAAAATAACTAATAAAAAGTTCCATCGACGAAATACAAATATCTCTTCATCTTTTTCTCTTTTTGCTTATTTCCCAGAAACCTTTGTTTCGTTTTGCTTCGTGTGCGATCGCGAGAAGAAGGCAAAAGAAAAAATTAGGGTTTATATTCTCAAGCTTTTTCGAACACCATTGATCCTTGATCTAGATTTTTTCTTCTATTCGAGTTTCTGAAGGTCTGGCTTTACATATCTTCTATGTGCATGGTGTCGCTAAATCTATGCAGCGTTGTCCTGTTCGATTTCGTTTAGCTTCTAGGGTTTAATGATTTGTGCATTTGTTGGTTTCAGAAATTGATTGTTCTCATTTTTGTGTTAGTTCATCGTGATTTTGTTTTGTTACGGCCTCCTATTGTTAGATTATTCGATTAGCTGAGGTTTTCTAAAGATTTTTTCTAGAGATAGTTCTCTCGAATCG